GCTTTGACAATGGCCTGGCGGACAATCGGCTCAGCTGCCGGGTTGCCGAGTCGCCGGGCCGCCGGATACCGGGAGGAAAATTATGGCATTTTCTTACTTATTTTTTCAGGCTGTTTTCGCATATTTTTTGTAACAAAAAAGTTCCAAATTTCTCTCGTGATTTTCTCAGGCGCGGTTCACCTCTCAGGAACCCGGAGTGCTGGCGGAAAGCTCCAATCCTCTATTATTGGGGGTATGATTAGCTGCATATGTCATCGACGTGTGCTAGTGCTCCTTATCTCTGCACGACATACTGTCGGAAATTTTTTTCCAAACTCCATCAGCACAACGTCCGCTGTGTTATCAGCTTGTTCCTGGCGCTATAGGCGTGCCTGCGAGGCCGCCCCCTGGCGGCGTCGCTCGAAGGCTCGGCGTATTTGTCCCTATGCACTTCTTGAGTGCGTCCGCACAGCCCAGACGCCACGGAAAAGTTCTGCTCAGCCACAGGAACTTGTTATCTTGCTAGGAGTGAAAGGGAGCGAGACTCTACCTCGGCAGAAATGCCTTGACGAGGAATGCTCTGCCGAATGACATGACATGATACGGACATTCCTCGCTCAAAGCATGGGCTGGAGACAGCGAAGTGCACGATATTTGGCATCTCTGTCTGCGCAGGGCCGTTGACATCAGAATATGGCGGTCTCATGGCACGAAGGTGATCCCGGCGTTAGGGAGCAAGCCATAGAGCGAACGACAATGCCAGAGACAGAGCTTCTACATATATCAGGCGATCTTGAGAGTGCGTGTGGGCAGGGTCTGCGTTCCGCCACGCCCGTGTACGTGATCTGTCGGCGACGAGAGATCGTGAGTGCATTCCGCTCGATGGAGGATATGCGGTCACTCGCCTTTGATATATAAGCACGATTGTTGCGACCTGGACGGCCCTTTGCAGCGCATATCGCCTTACCTACCGACAGTATCAAGCTTTTTGAGCGGTTCGGATGCGTTCACTTGTTGACATGCGCTCGAGTGTGCAGATAAAGGGCTCTGACAAAGCCTGCGATCGCCTGCGGGCGTGCATGAGTTCGCTTTCGCCATATAAGGTTGCAGACTATTTCCTGCAATGTGCCTGCGCAATTGATGAGCGAGACAAGTGAAACGACTGTGCCGCTAACGCGCCGGGCGATGTCGATAAGAAGTTACTGCGACCACGCCGTCGGGAAGAGTTTGGCGGTATTTGGCAACCCCGCCCTCTCGGCAGCCTCCGTGTGAACATATCTCGGCGTCCGTCCGTTCAGAGTGAACTCTTCTGAAGCCGGGCATGCTCGCACTCATCCGCGCCCAGCAGCGCTGCCGACCGCGGACACAGGTTGTTAGCCACGTAGCACGCGGTCTGCCTACATGGCGCGGAATCCACCAGACGCCAGTCGGTACGCCTTCTCGTTGTCCTGCAGCTGTTCTCTCTGGTGCTCATGTATGCGTCGCATCCTTGCAGCGTTGAAGAAAAAGAAGAAAGGCACTGGGTCTGACGATCTGTTTTCGACGGAGGACGACTCCCTGTTCGGCGACAGCGGCGACCTCTTGGGCGCGAGCGAGGCCACGAAGGCGAAGAAGCCGTCCGCCGCGCCGACCGAGCGCAGTGCAGACACCGGGAAGAAGCTGCGCGGCAAGCTGAACGCGGAGCAGCGCCTCGAGCGGTTCAACGTCCTCTTCCAGTTCGTGGACGAGCGCATCGGCCGGCACCCGCCCGCGAAGGCGCAGCGGAAGCCCGAGCAGGTTCGCAACACTGCGTGGCAGCACCTCTTTGGCCTTGCGATGGCGAAGGAGCAGCTCGAGCAGGTCGCGGAGATGTTCCCCAAGTGGAGAGAGTCGAGGAGAGAGTGGACGCCCCAGATGGTGATGACGTTTGTCCGTACGTCCCAGGTACCTTGCGTGCAGCAGAGAGCCACACTCATCAGGCGTATGACATGCTGCAGGTCGCTGTGAAGAACTGCGTTGCCCAGAGCTCGCTTTGAAAGTGTTCAGTGACCACCCGAAGTATGGTGTTGACCTCGTAGGCAGGAAGGCCGCCCGTCAACTGCTTCACTCCCTGCATGTCGAACACCCGCTGCAGGAGTCTATCACCCTGTCTGCCCTTCACCGCATCTATAAGCTCCCCGCTATCTCCGAGGACCTTGTTTCCTGCGCGATGATCACTTCGGCGTGCTTCAAGGCAGGCACGCCCGAGTCGCTCACTGTCGCGAACGCCCTGGTGCCAGCTCTGCAAGAGTTGCTGCAGAAGACGAAGCCGGAGGCCTGGGAATACCCGACGGATCCTAACGCGCGGAACCAGAGGAAGGACAAAGCTTGGTTGACCTGGACGCTCACTAAAATAGAAAAGGCTCTGAGCAACCAGAACCAGCCATTTGAATGGCTCAGGCAGTGGAGGGAACAGAGTGGCCATGTTCAGGTCGCTACATAGTCCACACTCCCTTGCTGTCATAAACATATAATATTCACCATTCCTCGCTTGGGGTGCTCAATTGATAGATTTTTTGTACGGTTTTACTTCCAATGGCTTCGGGTCTCGGCGCGAAAGGCGCAAAGCGCGGGCACGTGTAAGCGCCCATGGCTGTCGTGACCACCGACCCTCCTCAGAGCCACTGCGAACTCGTCGTCTACTTGCAGCACTTGCACGCGTTAACTGCTTGTCTGTGTCATCTGAGTGCTCAGTCTTACGAACGTGAGCCAGAAGGTCAATCGCATTAACTCCCCCCTCAAATGTCTGAAGGGCGTGTTCGCAGATGGATGCTAGTACGGAGGTGGAGAATAGCCCCGTGGACGATACCCTTGACTTGACCGCGGAGGGGCTTCTTGAGTCTTTGGAGAACCATGAGGATATCGTGTCGTGGATCAACGATATCCTTGACGTGGACGAGGCACTCACATCCGTCTCGGCGACCCAACCTGCCGCACTCAGCGACCTGGATCGACGTGTCACGCAGCTAGTTGGAACTCTGGAGCTTGCAAGCGAAGACACGTCTACACAGGTCGAACGACTCATCGACGACATATCCCGCGGTGCCTCCCGTCTCACCTACGACCTGCATTTCATGCGTGAAGGTGCGCTCTCCCTGCAAGCCCTGCTGCACAACGTCGAGGAAAAGTCGAAGGCGTCCGTCGTTGCGGACACGAACGCCGCGCTGGACCGGCTGCACTTCCTCGACACGGTCAAGCGCAATATGGAGGCCGCGCGCGAGGTACTCAAAGAGGCTGAGAGTTGGAGCACGCTCGAGTCCGACGTCATTTCCCTCCTCGGCGAGCAGAACTACGAGCGCGCGGCGGAACGACTCTCCGAGGCGAGCAAGAGCATGGTCGTCTTCGAGGGCACGCCCGAGTACGACGCCCGGCGCACACTCATGGTCAGTCTCCAGAACCAGCTCGAGGCCGCGCTCAGCTCGGCACTCGTCGCCGCCGTGAACTCGCAGGATGTTGCGGTCTGCCGGAACTACTTCTCGATCTTCTGCAACATCCAGCGCGAGTCGGAGTTCAGGAATTATTACTATGGCTCACGCAAGGCGGCGCTTCTCGAAATGTGGCAGCACGCACGTCTGCGCGACTGCGAGCAGGAGGCGGCGGACGCCGCGCAGGCTCAGCAGAGCTTTGTGCAGTTCTTACCCACGTTCTATCAAGCGTTCCTTGCGATGCTATCCACGGAACGCATGGCCATTTCAGCCATATTCCCGGACCCTCAGCAAACACTATCGACCTTGATAACTTCCACCTTATCTTCACTCCAGCCGAGCTTCCCAGAGCGTCTCTCTACCGTTGCCGGGTATCATGGCTCGAAGGCCCTCCCTCAGCTTATCACAGCTTATCAAGCTACCCAGGAATTTGCACTGGCTACGGACAGGATCCTGGAGAAGATTGCCTACGCGTCACAGCCGGCGCCAGCCTCAAGCGAGACAGACGGCTCCCAGAGCAGGGCTCATCTACGAAGACGCTCGTCCGCTCGTATGTCCATGTCTAGGCGTATAGGTCCTCATCGTGCCTCTATCAGCGGGTACCCGCTGTCTAACCCTGGGGATTCTTCTCAGCCCTCCTGGGATCAGGAGCTATTCGAGCCGTTCCTCGATTTCCAAAACGACTATGGCCCCTGGGAGCACCGTTATCTCAAAGCTGCCCTGCAGGAAATAATGCGAGATGAGGCCGGGCCCAACGGGGACAGGTCGCGGCTAATCAGAGAGCGGTCTGTGGACGTCTCCAGCGCTGCGGAAGAGGCGATCACCCGCTGTATGGCGTTCACTCACGGGTACGCATCTGCGGGGCTCGTGGAGACCTTGGGTACCCTTCTGAGAACGTTCGTCGACAATTCAAAGGCGGAAATATCCTCTGCCCAGACGTCATTCATCGACACTATGGCGTCGGCGTCTGGAGACCTCTCCGACCTTGACTATACCCCGAAAGATTGGGCCGACATACAGTCTCTGCTGCATACCCTGGAAGCAATCAGGGACTTGAATGACCGGGTGCTGAAGTTCGAGAGCAAGCTGCGCGGTTCGCTGGTCCAGGTATCCCATACATTCCGGCTGATGCGTGCAGACCCCACTGGTCTACACATATCTGGGACAACACGAGGCGCCGTTCAACTATTGGCGCAATCGAGCCTGAACAACATGGAATTGCATGATCTTCTCGAGCGCGTGGACCCAGATCCGCCGCATGCACAAAGCCAGTCCCGTGGTGACCCCTTCCTCACGCCCACGCCCCCTGCATCCGGCGCAGAAGCTCGCCGACCATCACAGGTGTTCCACCTGACCCCGGGCATCACCCAGACGGTGCCACTGCTGGTGGCCGCACGCGAAGCGATCTCCGGCTTCGCGAAGGCGTGCCAAGTGGCGCTGCAAGAGACCATTCTATCGCCATTGCGCAAACGGCTCGCAGGCTACCCGTCATTGGCTGTGTGGGTCGCGCAAGCGGACGCAAGGAGGCGAACGGGCGCCGGCGGTAGCAGTGCCCTCAGCGAGGTGCACGTTCCGACGTTCTCGCTCTCGCCCACGGACACAATGCAGCGCGTTGCCGAGGGCCTCCTGAATCTTCCCCGCCTGTTCGAAGTGTACGCGGACGACGACGCGCTCTCGTTCTCTCTCGAGACGTTGCCGTTCATCAAGGCCGATATGCTCAGGGCTCTAGCAGAGCCGTCGCCCGAGGTATCCGCGCCCACCCACCACCCGCGCCGGACGTCGTCGCTGTCGATGAAGACGCCGCCGGTTCTGTCGGCGGCGCCAACTCCGGAGTTCACACCTGAGGCTGTCTCGGCTGCCTGGCTGTCCTCTCTGGGTCTCTCGCTGCTTTCCCACCTCACGTCCCAGGTGCTGCCGGGTATCCGGTTCCTCAGCTCTAGTGGCGCCGCGCAGCTGGCCTCGGACCTCGGGTATCTGTCCAGCATTGTGATGGCGTTGAACATCGAGGACGCCGAGCTCGACAAGTGGAAAGAGTACGTCGAGATGGACGACGCGGCTGGGCGGGAAAAGCTTAAAGGAGAGGACGCTGCGGGCGATGCTGTGCTGCCGACTGTGGCTAGACTTCGGGGGTGGACCACTTCATAGGAAATGTTTGAACGGCGTATACATAGCTGAAATAAGACATGTAGACGTGCAGTTCGCCAAGCCGATCGGGAGCGTCTGGACGTCCCTGAGTTTTAAGGAACGTTCATAGGCACATGCGCAAGAATTGCAAAGCATCGACGAACATGTTACGCCGCGGGCTCGCGGCAGGGAGTTCACGGGACATCATCTGATGATGGGGAACCAGTTTTATGTAGGATCTTGGGAGCATAGCATGGCCGTCGCCGTGTACCTGCACGGGCCTCGGTCTCAGCTGGCGTCTTCGTCCTCAGCTTGTCTTTGACTCCCACCACGCCATGCCTTGCGATGGTTAGCCTTTGCGCAGTTTTTGCATCACCAGACGTGCGGAAGAGCCCATTGAGTCCTGGTGAGGTGACGCCTGGATTGGCAGTGAGTGAAGTCATCTCCGCTGTTTGGGGCCCGTCCTGCATGAAATCTGTGGGCGAAACTGCTTGCCGACGCGCCAGAGAAAGGCAAAACGCGGTACTGGCCATTGGTCGGCAGCACGCAAAATCGCGGAGGACAGGGTTGACCCCATGACGCCGGACCAGCACAGAGTTGCACCATCCGGACCATAAACCAGGGGCGCCGGACGGGAGCTGCGAGGGTAAAAGACATGGTCGGTCGCTCAATTTTCACCGCATACACTCACCTCCAACGTCGACCCAGGCGAGGCTCCCCGCCCAGCAGGATGGCCGACCTGGAACGCATACCGTCGAAATCACCGTCTCGGGCGTCCACGGTGACGCCCCTGACCCGCCGCCTGTCGGGGCTGAGCGCCAAATGGTTCGGGGGCGGGAGGAGGACGGACAGCGACGCGGCATCGTTCGTCACAACGACAGACACCGACACGCTTGTAGATTTCCGTAAGTTCTTCTCCCGCGAACATTGGCGACTTTATCTTGTGCTTTCCGCCCCCATACGTGCCTGGACACTCCCTCGAGATAAGCACCAAGCGCCAGTCGAGGCCTGCGATAAGCACCCCGTCGTTGAAACACACCCGCCACGATCTAATCTCTCCCACTCCTGCCAATCCTATTCCGACTTCACATAGATTTTGTTGGCTTCCTGCGGCATAACGGCTCCTGCCGGCTCCTGGCTCATAGCCAGTCTCGCTCTCCTGTCCACTCTCTTTCCACTCCTCCTTGCACCACTCATTTCGCTAACTCCATTCTTCTTCCTCGTTCAACCATTGCACCATGTCAGCACAAGACGACCTTGAAGAGCGTAGACAATCTATCCCCCGTGGCCGCGAAGCACTCGTACGCTCACCATCCCTGTCCTTCTACTCGCGCAACATACTGACCTAGCTTTCTGCAGAAATCTAGTGGCCGAGGTGGAGCAGGCAATATCAAGTCGTCTTCCAACGATCCTCGCGAGGACGAAGACGACTATTCTCCCATAAGGGGGCGCGAGGTATCCGTCGATGGCGACAAGGTGCGTCCGTCCCCCGACTTGCTCCCAGCGCGTCTGTTGACGCTTATCCTGTGTTAGTCCAAGCCCCTCGGTCGGGGCGGGGTGGGCAACATCCTAGCACAGTCCCGAGCACGTGCTGCCTCTGAAGTTCGCGAGGGGCACCCGCACACTGCCTCTATCATTTCCGGCAAGTCTGCGAGCACAGTTGCGTATGAGCGCGCTATCATCGCAGAAGCAAGCTCCAACGCGTCTGGTGTTGTACGTCACCTGTCCCATTGAGGCTCTCTCGGACTTTGTGCTTATCTGTATCCAGCGGTCAAGCGGGCGAGGCGGAGTCGGCAACATATCTAACTCCCGCTCCCGCTCTCGCTCTCGGGGCCCAGGATTCTTTAGTAGCGCCCTTGGTAGTCCCCGCCACTCCATTGGTCGTGGAGGCGTCGGAAACATCGCAGCGGGCCCCGATGGCGAGTATATTGACGAGGGTGACTTTGATCGCACCCAGCATGAACACCAGGGGATGTGAGCAGCCATCTATCTTCTCAGTTGATGCCCACCTGACATCTGAGAAGGCATTCGACTGGCAGGGGTGGGCTTGCAAATTTGACAGACCGGCATACTCCCCCACCCGAGATGCAGCCACACCATCACGGGGACTTTGAACCTATCGGTCGCGGCGGAGCAGGCAACATAATCCGCTCACGTTCTCAGTCACGCGACCCAGATCGCCGCAGCGCATCTCGCGACCGTATCGCCAAGGTCTGGCAGAAGATCACGCACCAGCGCACGTCCGAGGAGGGAGACATCCAGGAAGAGCCCGCGATCCCCCCGGATGACCACGTCCAAGAATGACTCTCTGCGAGGCGTGCCGGTGCAAGGTCGAAGAGAATTTCCTTTGTGCGACGCCGTCAACAGAAGCCCCTGTGTGCTGACACCCAGCCGACATCCCATCTGTCGTCGTCGTCGTTGTCGTCGTTGTCGTCGCACCGGCACGCCTCGTGGACCAGTGACTGTACACAGCCCTCGCTGTCTTCTACTTCTGACTTCTCCGTTTCGACTCCGAGTTCTCCATCTTCTGTCTCAAGCTCTCTCACCTCTATCTCGCCGACCCCCACGCTCCGTTCGCTCGATTTCCCCAAGCCTTTGACACACCTCCCTTACCTCGTTGTTCCCGAAACCCGGTTCCTCCAGTCAACTCCGTCTCTTCCGACCCTCTATGAAGACCAAGAGTATGTATCATTTCTCGACATGTATTAGATTTTGCGTTTCTTCTCTTCTCTATGCTCATCTCTATGCTTGCTTTGATCCGTTATCTTTATTGCTTCCCTGCGCTCTCGGATGTAATTCTGTCTTGTGGATTTAGCCTGGATCTTTCTGCTTATCGGTCGTCGTGCTTCGCGGGCACTGCCTATAATCACAAACGCTATCACGGACTTCACAGGCACGGGTCACGCTTGACCTTGTGGCACCGCCGCCGTGGCGTTATCGCAGCGCTCCCTGCGCCTCTTTCGCTTCCATCGTTCACATTCGCAGACCCTTTTAGGGCTTCTCACTACCGTTCCTTGTGTTCATCAGCCTATAGCACACAGCATGCTAACGTTACCTTTGTTCTCAGCAGGTACTCGAGCTGTCGCCTGTCTCGGCTTCGACTTCACACCTTATCCGCGTCCTCACGCGTCCGCTGCGCAAGGGTCAATCTTCGCCGCCGGCGCGCGGCTCTTAGTGGTGGCCGGTGCTAGGCTGGGTGGTGTCCTCTCGTATAGTCACAATAATTGCCTCCCCGAAAAGTGTACTCATAATATTAGCATCTCAGTATTTAAAATTGCCAGCGTTTATTGGAGAAGTGTTTATTTCTCATCGCCGCCTCCGACGCTGCACATGAGGCCTGAGGTGGTGGGAACTCATCGACATCTCTGATGATCACGCGTCCCCAAGGTCGCTACGCCTTGAGGAATCTGAACTTCCATGCATACGACCTCAACGCTCCGCATGAGCTCCCAACTTCGAAAAGTGATACGTTCCCTTGCCTTGGATCGCCATTTATCATGGACTTTGACCGCTGGGTGTCTCAGTGCCTAATGGACACTGTACAGCCCTGAGGCATTTTTGGCACCTTGTACTACAAGGCTGTTGTACTTGAGTTTAGAATTCAGTCGACCCGGCCTTATCTCGTACCCGTGGTTATTTGTAGTTGCTTAGTCGCTCACAGATAATGAGGGAAATCTGGTCCCTTTGCTCTTGCTCCGCCTCCATGCTGGAAGTTAGAAAGCAGGGAATCTTCCCATCACCGCACGCGTGGTGCGCAAAGTTTTCCGTGCCCGCAGGAGCAGTTGAACGGCGGGAATCATCCTAGCCATGCGCACGTCTTCCGTACGAACAGAACAACTTATGGGAACTGTACTGTCGGTTAGCGTCTCGAGCTGGTGTTCTGATGCGGCATCGTGTCTCTTTTGCTAGGACAGGCCATGCGAGCGAGACAAGGAGAATCGATTACTCCGTCTTCCACATATGCGAACAACTAAGTTTTGTAAGTCATGAGAGGTCATTATGATTTAAGTTATACTGGCGGGGTAAAGGTAAAGTGCGGAGAGAGGGAGAGAGGAGACATACATATATGCGACGCAAAAACAAGGAACGACTCGCTCTTAGGCTGGCTACACAAACTAGACAAGACGGATAAACGTGAAAGTTGAGGGGAAAAGAAGCCGCGGGCCCAAGGGATCTTAAAGGGTAATAAGGAGACTATCTGAGGATATGAGGGGGTCATACGATGTAGAGGGCTTTCCTGCCTCTTACGATCCGTCAGGCTTCACTCGCCACATGACGACCGCTGCGGCTGCCACCACCACGACGATACCGAAGGCCGTCTGCACGTTATTCAGCGGATGCTGGATGGCATGATCAACAAGGGTCTCCGGGGCAGGCGGGTCTGGGCTTACCAGGTCCTTCGGCGGCTCCTTCGTACGCGCCTCGGTTATGGCAGCAGGTAAGCGTCCAGATACCGGCTGTTCCAGCAACGACGGCTCAGGCGTGATCGGAAGCTGTACGTTCGGTTTGGAGCGCACCTCCGAGCCGTCTGTAGACTTAGCCGACCCGTTTCCGTGGTGCGCTTCGTCCGAGTCGTCCGTGGCCCAAGATGACCGGTGCCGGAGTGGCGAGCTTGTGGAGGAAGCCTCATCATGCTCGCCGCCGTTGACCCGCGTCGGGGACTCTGAACGCGACCGAGACCGTCCTCGAGACGAGCTCGAACGCCGCTTTTTCTGTCGCGGACGTGTCGATTCTGCGGAGAGGCTGCGCGGACTCGGTGGCGTGACGAGTCCTAGCTTCGCATGCCCATTCGGTGCCTGGTACTGCTGGACCTGAAACGAAGCGATCGAAGCAAGCCCACTGTCGACCTTCACCGACGTATTCTCCAAACCGGTCTCCACCTGGCGCATGCGAGCTTCCCACTCCTCTTTGGCGCGACGAAGGCGCTCGCGCTCGTCGTTCCATTCCTCCTGAACGGTGCTCCACCGGCCCTCCATGTTCTTCTTCCACTGGTTGAGCACCTCAGTGATAGATTCCTTGGGCTCCTCCTCTGCTGGTGTTGACGGGGCTGGTGCAGCGGCTACCACCGCTTTGACTTCCTCAACGGACTGCGCAATTTCTTGCTGGGTCTCTGCCTGCGCCTGCACCTGCGACTGGGTCACCTGAACAAGTGACTCAAGCGCTGTGACCTTCGACTCGAGCAGAGAGATCGTGGTTTGAGCGGTCACATGCTGTTGTTGGAGCGACCGAGAAAGCTCAAGCGCAGACTCTAGCTGGTTGGAAAGCATCGAGAGTCGCTGCGCGAGCTCATCCGAGATAGCAGGTGTTGCTGGAGATTGTGGTCGCAGATGTGATGATGTAGTCGATGGCTCATCGTCATCCTCGTGCATACCCATGCCAGTCGGTTCGGGTGTCCGGGGCCGCATCTCATCTTGGCGTTGTCGCCGCTCGGCTTCTTCATCCGCCGCAAGCGACTCCTCGTCCTCCTCATCCACACGCTCGAGCTCATGCGGGACAACAGTGGAAATGCTGCGCGCATCGTCGTCATCCGAAGCATATTCGTCGTCTGAGTGCGAACGTTGTCTTCGGAGGTTCGTCGGACTCTGCGTCTGTAATCTGAGCAGCTCCATGTCGCGCTTCCGCTCCTCCATGAGCTCCCGCATGGCCGAAACCTCCTGCTTGATTGCCTCGTGTTCCGCAAGCATGCCCTCCAAGGTGTGTATCTTTTCCATATGACTTGTCAGAGACATTTGAGTTTCATGCAGCTGAGATTGAAGCTCATTGAGCGCCGACGAAGATGAGTCCGGCGATCTAGACGCTTGTGCGGAAGCGGACGCATCGTTCGGTCGTTGCGCCTGTGGAGGCACGACTGGGGGGAGAGTCTGGGGATATGGGCCTGCAGCGGGGGGCTGTGAGGCACATATAAGCAAAACGTTTGAACAATAAAGGTGGAGAACGCACGATGTTGCCACCGAGTGTTTCATGGATGTCGTTCATGGCATTCGTCAACGAATGCAGCTCGGCACCCGTCTCCCGGCTCTTTTGCAGCTCGCCCTGGAGGCGGCTGAGGATGTGATCAAAGGTCAGGCCGCTCTTGCCTGGAGGGCGTGCGCTGCCACCCATCCCACCCATGCCGACGAGACCTTGGGGTTGCATCGTCCCCCTCCGCTGAGCACCTGGCATGACGTTGTTCGCGCCAGCACCATTCGCACCAGCAAAGCCAAACGCACCCGGCTGGCCAGCTATTCCTGGACCCTGCCCCCCGAGCGCACCGTACGTTGGGGGATTTTGTTGCGCCTCCACGCGGGCGGCGGCTTCGGCATCCTGCTCAGTAAAGACACATACAACGCGCGCGGCAACTTTGTGGTGGACGATGGTTGTGTTATCTTCGCCGACAATGTCGATGCCAAATTCCTAGAGCACTGTTTGGACTTGCGACTGGCGTGTGACTCGGTGGTGCACGTACCACTATGTCGTCAGTCTTGAGCTCGAACGGTTGTGATTCAAGTCCTTCTGGACTTAACCGTTCGCCGTTAATGAACGTTCCGTTTGAGCTCTTGACGTCTTTAATGAAAATCTGGCGTGATACGTGTAAGCCATGAGGATAGAGGTGGGAGACGGCCCTTCAATCGAGGGAGACTGAAGGCAGACGAACGGGCTCTGTCCTGCAAGAATAGCCCACGCACCTTTGCATTCTCCTCCCACACCTCTGCATGCTGCCTCGATAGTACTTTTGAATCGAAATACCCATTCCGCTCCGCGGGCACCGTCTTCGCGTTCGTTTGTCGACCAATCTTCACACGTTGGTTACTGGCAAGCGAAATATGCTTCGGAATGAAAGAATCATTGAGAGGGTATAGGTATAGGGCCGGCAATGGTACTGGAGGCTGGGTGGTCGAGAATGGAGGCATCGTGCACACCGTCGACAACGATGAACAAGTGAGAGAGGCCTTTGTTTGGCCATGATTGGGCTGCCGCCCACCTTACACCGGGCCACTCGAAATCTCAAAGCCACGCCGCATCCCGCGAGCCTCGCACCTGGCCGGTCTCAGACATCCCAAAGTACTGCACAGCTCGTGTTGATCTCCTCGTCGCTGTGGACGACAGCGTAGGCGAGTTTCACCATGTCCCCCAGCCTGCGCAACCCCGCAGACGCCCGGGCCTCACCACATGGAGGACAAGGCGCAGCCTGACCGGCCTGACCTCCTAACTGTATCGAGCGGACTACTGTGGATGTAGCCCATTCGGAATTCTCAGTGCTCTCAGCTACATTATTTTCCCCATTATCGATAGTTTTATCCAAGGGTGGCGAGTGACGTCCTCCCCGCGACGGACGGCCCGTGTGTGGGTATCTCATGACCACACAATGAGAAGACTGCAACAGATATCAACGTTGCATATATGCACTCGATGCTGAGACATTTGCGTCTTCTGTCCCTGCCCTTGCGCTCTCCGTATACTCGTCGTCTTCACACCATGGCATCACACCCCTTACTCCAAGCGTTCCAAGCATCCAAACCGGCCTTTGGAGTGTGGATCACACTCCCGGGACCGTTTGCAGCACGCAGTGTCGCAGCCGCGTCTCAACATCTGTCATGGCTGGCTATCGACTGTGAACACGGCCTGACATCTCTCCAGCCGGGAGCGGCAGAAACCATCGCCGCCGTATCAGGTCTCGGCGCGAACGCACCCAGCATTATCGTTCGCATCCCGGCAACTGGTGCATCTGCAGACGGAAGCGCGAGCTGGCAAATCAAATACGCTCTCGACGCAGGTGCGAGGGGCATCGTTGTGCCTATGGTAAGTCTTCGGGCTAGTGGACATGCATACGACGGCTGAGGCATTGGCTAGGTCTCTACTAAGGAACAGGCGCAAGCAGTTGTATCAGCCGCACGCTTCCCTCCCGTGGGTACCCGAGGATACGGCAGCCCTTTCACCCAAGCGTCTTGGGGCGTATCTGCGGCAGACTACCTCAATATAGCCAATGGCAGCATCCTTGTCCTCACCCAAGTCGAGACTCGGCAGGCATACGACAACATCGACGCAATCTGCTCCGTAGAAGGCTTGGGTACGTACATCATGATGTCTGTTGTCGCATATACTGAGTAAGACGTAATGTTGTAGACGGAGTGTTCATCGGACCATATGACCTTTCGTTGTCCCTCGGCTATCCACCACCTAACCCAGATCCGCACCCGAAGGTAGAAGAAGCGATACAAAGGATCCTCCAGGCAGCGCATAACGCAGGAAAGAAATGGTACGCGGTCATTGCGAGCGAACTGATGGAAGGTTGATTGTGCTTGTAGTGCCTTCTACTGTATTTCCGGGGAGCAGTCAGCAAGACGCGCCAAGGAGGGCTTTGACATGGTACGATCCAACCTGGTTGCATACTTGCTTCGAGGCGTCTGATGGTAATTTGTCGCATAGATCAACGTGTCGTCGGACGTAGGAGCCATGACCGACGCGTTGAAATCGCATCTTGCAGTAGCTACGGGCGAGAACGCCGGAGGACGAGGTTTTGGGTACTAGACACGAAATGCGTGCTGTAATATATGTAAGTATGAAATGATGCATGAAGTTCTGTCCAATGTAAGTGTGTGCGTGCCTCTGCTGATGTTCTAACCATCGCTCTCTACCTACTTGCCGTCCTCTGCCATCTTCACGTTGCACTTCCACTAGCCGTTGTCCATTCATAGGTCTCCCAAGAATCTGTCCCACCGCTTGATATGGACCTCACCGTCGACATCGAAGTGACATTCCGCTGTTCTTGGGTCTGGACTAAGATGCTCATGCTTGGCGTCATGCTAGTGTTGAATATGCTGCTTCCTCCGCTACGTCGCAAATGGAGGTGTATACGTTTGTGAGGGATCTCCACAGTAGTCCATACTTCAGTCGCGTACATTCTTGGGGGTATGAGAGTTTCAGCCAAAGCAGCTTATGCAGAAATGTACATGTTATATCTCGGTCACGGTAGCAGGATACTGAGTTTCGTGCACGGTACCAGCCTCGAGCAAACGCCTGCATACTTTGGACATGTCCGGACGAAGTTCTGGACGTTGGATCTGCCAGCATTGCTCCAAGAGGCTCCAAACGGGATCGATCCATATGTTCTTCTGCAGTGGACGGGCAGGCGTCTTGCCGCGCCCGAGCTCAATGTAGATCTGGTTTTGATTTCGGCACTCATGGAAAGGATGCTCGCCGGTCACAACCTCGAGGATGGCCATCCCGAAGGACCATACATCACTCTTGGAGTTCGGCACTGCACCAGCTTCCATGAGTTCAGGTGCTGTCCAGCGAGGTGAAGTGTCTCGAGTTACTGTTGTCGCGGCGGATCGGTCCTTGGAGAACTCTTCTACGATCTTGCACATGTGGAAATCCGAGATGACCGCTTCGCCCTAGACGAGTATGAGGCCAGACTTTCATGAGATATCTATCAAGCTCACCTCAGCAGTAATGAGAATGTTGGCCTGGCGAAAGCCAGCGCAAGCTAAAGTCAGCATTCTGCTGTCGCCAGATGGAGGAAGCAAAGGATTGACATACGCCTTTAACTTGAGTCGCGTTGTTAAGTGAGCGACTCGCAGGTTTACAGATAGAATATCATCACCCACTGTTTCCGTGTGCTATCCCCTCACAATGCAGATATTCAAGCCCTGCCGCAGCTCCGGCGAGCTACGACACATTAGCAGTGTAAGGTGGGCTGGCGATCGATTGCATACCAGACGGAACTTGTTGCCATCAGGATGTTCCTTGGTATACCTTCAGCATGTTTAGGATCCGCTGCGTCACCTTAGCATTGCGCTCAAAAGACTTACTCCGTAATATTGCCGTTTTCTTGCCACGGTGATACCTGTGGGCCAAGTCAGCGGCTCTCGTCAAAGACAAGGACTGCCATACCAGAGCAACACAGTCTCGACCACCGATGGTCACTGACATGATTCCCAAGAAAGGCTGAATATGTGGGTGCTTCATCTGCGACCAGGTCGTTGCCTCCTTTTTGAGGCGCTGTTACACGGTCCGAGTCAATGTTACTCATACCGCACTCGAGCACTTTGCAGGCTTACCTTGATAGCCTTGTCTGCGTTGGTCTTGTCACGGAAACGCCTGACCGCCACCTAATTGATATGTGAGCTTTGAGTTATCTGGGTAGTGATTGTGGATAAAAACTTTTTGCGTGGCCAAATACCATCCGACATACATGTCGGTGTAGTTTCCGTCGCTCGGTGCAGGATCTTCGGATGTGAGCTTGACCTCGCTTTCAAGGACTGAGATCTTGTATTCGACCCCAGTTCGTCCTTGCACTTGCTTGAGGGATTTGGCAATGTCGTTAACGATGACATTGAACTGCATCCGGTTAACGGGTACGCCAGCTACCTGTAGCTGTGAATCGTCTTTGTCGGAGATTTTGCTCAGCTCCTCCAAGGCCTGTCAGATATTGATCATCATGTGCTATAGGAACAACGATAGTAGAGATTTAATTACCTTCGTGGCGTTTCGGGAGTAGCTGTTAGCTTCATCAAGGGACATACTCTCCGACGGCCGTCTCGTCTCCATGAGGACCTCATAAATACATTTTTCGACGCTCTCTAGCTTCGTATTGACCATAATATGGCTGGTGATCTTATTTGAAGATTTATTAAGAGTTTCAAGATAAGCTTGCGAGTTACTGACTTGGAAGTCTGTCATGGCATGGTCGAGATCGTGGGCGCTCTGCTTCAGGTCCTCGTCCATCTTGTCGCTGTGCCCTATTTTAAACAATCAGCCAGGCGGCAGAGACACAAGACGGTGTTGCAATACATATTGTGCGCCAGAAGCCCCAGGTGCTGTAGACCTCCAACTTCTCCTTGGCTTCTTCGAGGAGCCTACGTGGCTGGGTCAGAGTAGGAGAGGGTCGTAATGCGTGAAGTGACGTACTTCACTGCTTTCGAGACTGGCACAACCAGGCTAGTATCTCGGATCTCTTCGAAATGCTCTTGGAACATGCCGCCGTACTCTGAGCACTTCTTCTCCAGCTGTTGGCAAGCATCCTGTCCAGCGCAGGTCAATATAAGGGTGAAATGAACTAGGTCTAGAGCACGCAACGCGCCTTGTTGTTTTTGGCGTCCTGCACCACTTGCTGTATTTGTTGAACGAGCTGCGGTACAATAGCAACGCCAGGGATGGGAGAAAGATTGGCTAGCGTGGTTGCGGTCTTCACAGCTTCGACCGTGCTGCGAGCAGTAAAGAACGCCCCGAAGCCCATGCTGTTTACTCTGGAGGGCGGAATGTGTGACGATGTACTGTAATCTCGACGCATGAAGGTTGCATAATTATATGCATTGCCTCGAAGGGAAACCCTTGTCCCATGCGACCGATCCGTGCCTCACAATAAAGTTCTGTCAATGTCATGTGTTCATGACGCTGGAGCATGTTTGACAGGCTGCAACCACCACTTCTGCCACGGCCTAAGCAACTGTGCCTGTACATTGTTCCCCGCGATTACAGAGGGGGTTGTTCAAGTTGCAACTGGTAGCAATGCTGTGAGCGAGGTAGTAGCAGATCAGTTGGGAAGAACTGGACAACGCGTGTTAGCACTGGCAGACATATATATATATATACTTGGACTTGCTTGAAGAGCTATTTGCACGTTAGTCGTATATCCGCAACACCATAACACAAGGTCTCCAACCTTACCGCCGCACGGTTAATGCGATGTTCAACGTTTAACGACAACGTTCAATGTGTCGTCCCGCGAGCTCGGAGCGGTAGAGGCGCTCGACACAGTAGGCAGTCCTTGTGACAGCTGCACATCTTGCAGGTCTAAAAAGGGCAACCAATTTGCAGCGAGCTCCGTATATGTAACAAGTATCCACGAAAATCGTGTCCAAGTCTGAAATAAGACCAAGAGAAGCGTCAACATTATCTCACTTCGCCAACTGCTTTTCCTTAATGAAACAAGACGATAGCAGAGCGCACACAGTGATTGCGCACGTGAACCACATTGCGACATGCAGAGCATCTGCGTAGGACGCAACGACTTTTGCCCGCACTGCTGGCTCTAACTCCCCAATATATTCGAGAGATTCCCGAACACGTCTGATAATCTGAAAGTACATCAGTCTGGAAGAAGCAGAGATAGAGAATGTAGTAGTTCCCACCTCGTCGGCATTCTCTCCGGACAGCCGCTCGTGCAACAAGCGACGCAGCGTATCCTGCATGAGAGTGGTCGAAACAGAGAGCCATATCACCGTCCCAAGAGACCGGAAAAGATATGAGACTGTAGAAGACCGATGATGAGCGCAATGAATAAAATAAGCGTCAGCCATCATACCTGCAGTAGCGACAGCTTGATTTTCGGGGCCCGCATTGGCAATGAGGGCGATCAAAGTCGTGGTTATTCCAGCACCTGCAGCAGACGTCAGCATAATGATTATCTGTAGTGATCAATTCACTGGCCGACTCCAAATGAGCTGAGAGCAAGACCTTCACACATCCGAGGTCAGACAGTATTATTTAATTGTGTTGGAAAGGCTTACCCAAGGCGATGCCGACATAGGAGTAGACCCATACACCAGAGAACCCAGGGACTAAGAGCTGTCCTAGCACCATGATGCTAAAGACACTAAAGGTCAACCAGTAATATTTTCCGGTCGCTTGCATAATCAAACCGCCAATCAGGCTGCCCGACACGCTGGCGATTATTGATGGCAAAAGGACGATGCCTGACTCGCCCGCGGTTCGGCCTTGCACGACTTGGAAGTATAAGGTAATCGCGAACGACAGTGTGAGGCCGATGCCCGCTGCGAAAAAGTTGGCGAAGTAGCTGGCGACGAGTGCCGGGTTAGCGACGATAGCTTTCGGCGCGAAGGGCTCGGAGGCGACCTTCGTCTCGACGACGATGAACAGGATGAATAAAACACCGAACGCAGATAGGCAGCCGATTGTGATTTGGTCGGCCCATGAGACGTTGCCTCCTCTGTCCAGACCTAAGAGCAAACAGAACACGCCGGAGACGAGGACGACGGCGCCCACAAAGTCGACACGCTTCAGCTTCGCCATGAAATGCTCGGCCTCGCGCTTCGGAAGCTTGAGGGCTAGTGTCACAGAAATAATGGCCGCCACCGCAAGAGGTATCTGCAACAAGAATGACCTACATCGGAACGAGTTCAGTGTCACCGGTCTTGTGGACAATTGGCCACATACCATCTCCATCCGATTGTGTCGGCAAGGTATCCACCTAACGGCGCGCCGACCGCTAATCCAGTGGCATAAACCATATTAGCAACGCCTTAGGTTATAGGATAATGGGTTAGTCGTGACATTTGGGCCGAACTGCGCATGGTCATCCGAACCTTGCCATGTACCTCGCTCCCTGAGAGGTACCACATCCGACATCACGATTGACGCTACTCTACGATGTCCTGTCACCTGAAGGCACTATCATAATTCAATGAGTGATCTACTCACGTTGACATCCCGCCTCCACCTATCCCCGTTAAAGCTCGAGCGGCGATAAGCTCAGGCATATTGCGTGCCAGCCCGCAAAACAAACAGCCAAGGGCAAAGACAACATAAGAGAACACGAGACAGCTTCTTCGCCCGAAAATGTCGCTCAGCTGGTAGGGACTTATTCAGCTATGTTCGAAGAGTGGGCTCGGGCCAGAGATTCACCTTGCCATAGAGTGGTCTAGGATAACGTCGACAAGAGCGTGCAAGGACGGAGGTATAGGACGTACTGGAAGCTTGTCAACGTAAGCATGTACCCCGTTGCAATCCAACTCGTGTTCTGCAAGTGGTTCAGATCGCTTCCAATTCTGGCGTACGATGCCGCGATGACGGTGTTGTCCATGGCGGCGAGGAATATGCCTATGGACATTGGGATGATCTGGCACCTTTAGTTCACAGTGTGTCCAGTGCTTGACATTGGAAAGCACGCACCACAGTCAAAGGCGACTTGCGATGCGCTTTGCCATCCTGCGTGTCCCTGCTGTCCGCCAATGTGGCATGAATGACGCCTTCGTCCGCGAGTGGCGAGTTGCCGTTAGTTCCGTAGGCTCTCGTGTCTTGCGTCTCCTCAGAGAGTAACGGTGCCTCCTCGTCATCAACAGGCCGGGACATGGTGGAGGTTTGAGAGCAAAGTGCTCATGCCGCGAAAACACGATTCCCGCTACCTTTTAAGGTAGTGGGTCTTGTACCTTGACATCTGACACTGATTGCGGGTGACTGCGTGGAATTGCGAGTAGCCGCCTAAAGGCGTGCTTAATTCTACATGGATGGGGTGGGACGGGATGGTTTCGAGCTGGCTGCGGGGGTGGACGGCTTTTCCGCTGATGCCGTAGATTCCATGAGACATGTGTTGTGAATAGACCTTATCCTAAGCCGTCATCCCGCCATCCCGGGCCCGCCCTCGAGCCCCGCCCGCTTCCAAAACAAGTAAGTCTGTTTGTACGAGACAAATAGAGACCGTTCACAGCGACTGTGAGGTAGAGGGGACAGTTTGCGCAACACGCTGTCTCCAGTATGCAATGGAGAGAGAGGAATAGGTCAATATCACAGAGTGGTCCCTTGAGGAGACGCTCCATAATGCCGACATATGCCTATAGACCATGACAGGCTGCGGGCACGAGCACATCGCACGGAGGGCTGGTCGTGACGATAGCGATTTCAAAGACCTCGAGTATAGGCCCTGATAACATTCAATCCTTCATGCTATTAGCTCTGGGAGAAACCATGTAACTCAACTCACTCGCTAATGAATATTAATGTCGTAGGAGTGCTTTCGCAAGCGCAGCGCAGACACTCCTGACATAGCTCACAAGGTGGGTATTAAATTTTACATAGATGCCATGGCATAACTTTACTCTGAGCATATCACTCTTATTTTGCGGGACATGGGGTTGTTATTTGCTTGTGGGATAACAGCTTTGAAAGGCTCGCTCGGTCAAAGTCCACAATTACACAGCAAAAAAGAGTACTGGTTTGCTGTGGTGTATACCTGCTTCAAGAAATCCATTTTCTTCTCTCTCCGTCGCAGAATATATAACACGTTGAGCAAGCTGCTCCCCGCCTCTATTTATCTCGTACAAATAGACTTACCTGTTTTGGAAGCGGGCGGGACTCGAGGGCGGGTTAGGAGCAGATCTATTTATGATCCATGTCTCACTGCTAATCTACGCCATCAGCGGGAAAGCCACAGCTCGAAACCATCCCATCCCATCCTTCCATGTAGAATTGAGCACGCCTATAGAAAGAAGATGCATGACTCGACGTGTCAGAGAGACTGGCAGTCCACGAACACTCTCACCCAACTTCTGGCTGGCACAAGACGGTTTGGTTTTTTACTCCCTTCTGCCAAGTATTCCGTGTGCAATGCTTGAACAGCACGAGTCTTTGCCTGTTGATAGCGGGGAGGCGGGGCCCATGTTCTTGTGGCGTTTGATGGCGGGTCAACCCGACGTGATGCTGCGCTTAACATCCATCCTTTAACCTCCACCACCATGCCGCTACTATCGCGTGCTCGACGAGCATGGGATGACATATACAGAGCTATGTTGAACCGTGATCACTTTGCCCCGCATACATACCCTCGGTTCGAAGGCTACTATTCGCGAACTCAACTCGACAACGGAGGGACGCTCGCGGTCATCTTCTGCTGGGTCAAGAATGCTCCTAAGCGAGCCAACCTCGTCCACGTCTCGTATACGCCTCCAGTATCTGACTCTTCTTCGACTGCTTTTAAGCACGAGTTCTACCCTGACCACCTGGAGATCACTACACACCCCAAGCACTCAGACGGGCAGCGGCCCTTCACTGTGCATATGCCCGGCGTTGGCACGATGAAATTGTGCAACAACATCATCGACTACACCGTCCAGACCTCCGACCCAGACCTTTCGCTCTCTCTGAGAGTCACTGAACGCGTTCCCTGGTCAGATGTCGCACCTCTCGCCGGCCCCATGGGCCCCCTCGCTATCCTTTCCCGCTTCCTTCCTCTAAACTGGCACGTCTTCTGCACCTCAAGTAAGGCAGAGTATCTCTTCACCCACGCCGGCCGAACACACGAGGGTTCCGGTACGTCCCATGTCGAGAAAAACTGGGGCGCGTCGTTTCCGCCCGGCTGGATCTGGAGCCAGTCCTTCGCTGATGCTGAGCCGAAGAAGAGCCTGTGTCTTGCGGGCGGCATTGCGCTCCCGGGCGTGGAGGCATACCTCATCGGTTATCGTTCGTCGCGACTACACTGGGACTTCCAACCGCCGTTCGCCATGTCCATCTGGCCGCTTCCTTCGTTCATGCACGTTGAGCGTGACAGCAGAGCGGGCACGTTTAGGCTCACGGTGCGCACCTTTACCCGAAAACTCGTCGTCACAGAACATGCGCCACTTGAATCCTTCATGGGCGTCGCCTGTCCGCTAGCGGATGGCCACGAGCCGTCGTTTGCATACGAAAGTTTCGTCGCACGCACTCGCATAGAGGCATGGGAGCGTTGGTATCCGTGGCAGCCGTGGCAGCTTGTGGAGGATGGCCCCTGTGGTGTCACGTCAGAAGGGAGGCCGTGCTCGGCACTCGAGTTCGGTGGGTCGTTCAGTCACCTTGTCAGAGAGAGGTCGAGAAAGGGCGACTAGAGACAGTCGGTAAGAACAGCACGCTTTGGCATCCTGCACGCTTCATCAGGCTCACAATCTGACTGGAGAACCGCTAGGAACTTGTGACCTGCTGGCGCTGAACACATTATTCATGCCTCGGAGCTGGGGACCCTGCTACATGAAGTTCGAGCCCTTCGCCTATCTTCATACGACGTCAAGGGGGTAGTGCGTATCAGATTAAACGATGGATCAGTTGGCTCCCAGGCTATGTAGCATCGGGAACTTGGGCCGTAGACTTGGTTCTAACAGTTTGGTGCTGGGTTCGACGCTGACCAGGGATTAGCTGTACTGGTCATGGTAGCTTGGAGGGCGAGAGTGAATATCTACTCGTTTGTGATGCGGGCTCTGGAGAACGATTGGAAAATCACGTGCTGGGGTTAGTCCTTGGGTCATATGCCTGTCAGGTGCTCAATTCAGTCACAGCCGACTGACCCAGGTCATCCCATACCTGGGAAACCCTCTGATATCCTATATAACCCCTAGTCCGCTCTGTTTCACATACCCCCAGCACCCACAAAGCCCTCAGAGTTGAGTTCGCTCTCTCCAGCACCCCCCGAACAGTCGCTAGAAGCACCCTCACCGTCGACCATGTCGGACACCACCGCGACCTCCGTTGAGATTAACGATGCGCTCTTCTGCCAGCCGCATCTCAAGGAGATTGTGGGTGCCTAATGATCGTCGTGATAAGCATTGCGCACCGACTTGACCACCGCTTCCATAGTGCGAGGATTGTTCCTTCGACGGGAGGGAAGAGAACGATGCATTCTTTGGCGTACGTCCTTCCGGCTGTTTCGCCGTTCTCCCTAGCTGATCTGCTAATCGCTCGTAGTTCGATCCCATCGATCGTGAAGGCATCGAGGCCCCCTCGGCCTCCCCGAACAAGGACGGCGTGTACCAGTGTAAGAAGCACAGTTCGACTAGTAAGTGTACTATTCATTGTCGTGTGAGACGGTCCGCTGACGCCACTGTGACAGCCTGCAGCCAGTGCTTCGGCTGGAAGAAGCAGATCACCCGCTCTCGTACCGCGGCCAAGAAGGCTGGCAAGAAGGCTGGGGGCGGATCCAACTTGTATTAATGGATGTATTAACAGTCTACTCAGTTGCTGTATAATAGCCGTATCATCCTGGCACAATGTAACATAACAAATATCTGTACCTTTACGATAAGTGCGAATGAAAGGGTCCGAGTGAGATGTCAGTGACTGTGGGTGTGGCGCGGGCGTAGCAGCAATTCAAAGAATCTGTCCAAGATGAAAATACCGAGCTCGGGCAGTTGCGTGGTGGCACATATGCGGTCGTCATGATATAGACTGCGAAGATGTCCACCGACGTCGGCGTGGTTCTATCGCTGGCTCCCCTACGAACTTCGCGACGGCTACATCATGGGCCGGAGCGACAAACAAGGCCTTGTTCTAGCTTTAGTCATCAGACATACTGTGCTTCATTCATCTTGCATTCTTGAGATGCTGCCTATTGGTCATTCTTGACAAACGTCATCACTATGTGTCACTCTAGGTCGGCCACCCGGGGAGGAACATTGCGAATCCTTGCGGGGTCGGCGTCACTGCACTCGTACGCCGCCCTACATCAAGCTTTGCTGTGTGCCGCCATGTTCTTGGGCTGGGAATTTCCTCGAGAAAGGTTGCAGCTGAAGCGGAAGGTGGACATAAGCGTCTCCTGACGTGAACCACTCTGCTAGAACCACACCGACTCGCATTACAACAGTTTCTGGGGTCTATGGATCAGCCTTGCCGAGCTTGGAGAAAGTTGAAATGGAGCCTTAGCGAGACAAAGGGCGGTTCATAAGACGGCGGTGCACCCGCCAACTCGATTTGTCAGCTGTCACTTTGCACATTCGCTCGCCATCTTGCAACCACCTCGGTCCATCACGTCCGTATAAAAGCTTGCGCTCGCATGCATCCTCTCCTTTCGCAAACTACGGCATACACCTCTCCTCCATACCCCAGCCAACTGCAAGTCCCTCGCTCACGATGTCTCCTGTCTTGATCAATGGCGAAGCCCACAACACTAACGGACACACCAACGGTGTGAAGAAACCAGACGGCTTCGGCACCCGTGCTATTCACGTAGGCTCCGAGCCAAATCCCGAGACCGGTGCTGTCATCCCAGCAATCTCGCTCAGCACGACGTATAAGCAGGACGGCATTGGGAACCACAAAGTGAGTGGGCGCTTTCAGATTTTCTTGCATTTCCCCCTTCTCGCATGCCGCTGTGAACAATGAACTGACGGCAAATTTTGTAGGGCTTTGAGTATTCTCGCTCAGGCAACCCGAATCGAAATGCCCTCGAAGAGACCCTTGCATCGATAGAGACGGGCGGAGCTTACGGCATCGCATTCGCCTCCGGATCTTCTACTACTGCCACCGTCCTCCAGTCGCTGGGACCGAATGCGCACATTATCAGCGTTAATGACGTTTACGGCGGCACTTTCCGCTACATGACTAGGGTCGCAAAGATTAATCAGGGTCTAGAGACAACATTCCTGGATCTGGAGAACGTAGATGATGATACCATAGTTGCTGCTATCCGGCCTAATACCAAGGTATGTCCGCTCAAACCCTGCGTTATCGGATAGTTGCTCATTCCTTGCAGCTCATTTGGATTGAGTCCCCCACGAATCCTACGCTTCGCCTAATCGATATACCCCGCATTGCCTCCATCGCACATTCGCATTCGTCTAATCCGCTGGTTCTTGTCGACAATACCTTCCTGTCACCCTTCTACTCTTCCCCGCTACTTCAAGGTGCCGATATCGTTATGCATAGTCTTACGAAATACGTCAACGGCCACTCCGATGTCGTCATGGGCGCGCTCATCCTCCCCGCAAGGCACGCTGCTCTCGTGGAGACTCTGCGCTTCCTCCAGAACGCGATCGGCGCTGTCCCAAGTGCATACGATTGCTGGCTTGCTCAGCGTGGCGCGAAAACATTACACCTACGCATGAAGGCCCACGGCACGAACGCGCTTGCGGTCGCGCATGCACTCGAGAAGTCTCCGTACGTCGAAGGCGTTGTCTATCCTGGCCTTGCGTCGCACCCACGCCACGAGCTCGCCTACCGCTCACTCTCGCCCCACGCGCACAAGTTCGTCGGCAGTTACGTCGCCGTCCACGGCGAGGAGGGGGGCTTCCCATATGGCGGCATGATCTCTTTCCGCATCCGCGGTGGACTGGAACAAGCAGACAAGTTCCTCAGTTCGACGCGCCTCTTCACTCTCGCCGAATCGCTCGGCGGCGTCGAATCTCTCGCGGAGCACCCTGCCAAGATGACACACGGCAGCATCCCTGAGGCTGAGCGTGCCCTGTTGGGTATCGGCGATAACCTTATTCGCCTCTCGGTTGGTGTTGAGGATGTCGAGGACCTGGTTGCGGATGTGGAGCAGGCGCTAGAGGCGGCTGCCGCAACGCTTGAAGCGTAATGTCTAATTTATCAGTGACTCTTGCATCGCTTTCGCAACATGACAGTGTAGATGTACTTTTGCACTTCCACCTGTATATCACTTAGATTCCTTGTTCTTACCATTCGCGAGATGTTTGCAAACAAGACGAAAGTCGAAGTTAGCCAAGCTCAATGCGAGACATAACCAGCTGACACGTCTGATTCGTTGATATATAACATCGAGTACCGCAACACACTTCTTAGTATGAGAGGTTGCTTAAGTGGGACCGGTAGAGTTGGATAGCGGCGCAGTCCATGCCGCCGTTAGAGCGGTGGGGATGAGAGTCTCGGCCGCACCGGCTGTTCAACAGTATCGTTAACAATCTGATGGCTTCGTGGGCTACAGGCGGTGTACTTACTGTCAATGCTCAGCATCTGAAGCCATAGTATCACATAGGTGAATTCGAAACGAAAACTTTGGGGTCTTTGGTCGCCGGGAAAGTCGCAGGCTCTTTGACAGTGGGCTCGGGGGTTGGGACGACGTCGCTGTAGTCATCAAGTTGCGACCGAGGGTTACAGGCTTGGACATGGCGGCCTCAAAGCTCGGCAGCCATAAACCCCCCGCTCGTTGGCGGACGACGGCCAGAACTTGCGTGCCGTGCGCTTATCGCGCGCGAGAGCAAAGTCGGATTTGAAATGCATCTCCCCGGTATGTTGTCAGTTCCGGGGAACCTCTTTTTGAAAGAACAATCGGACTGCGCAACCGACTTGGTCTGGCTCACGATCTTCGCATATGAAGGGAAAGGGAGGAAGAGGCCCTCCGACCCTCGAGCGATACCCCAAGGAAAACTTGAGTGTCAAAGGTGAAGGGTGTCTAGAAATCGCTGTTAGCGTAAGCTGAAAGAAGTAGTGTTGATAATCTAGTCGATATTCTCCGCACGAGCGACGATGTGTAAGGCAAGGGTGGAGACGACCTCTAGAGTCTAAGGTGGGAGGTTACCAGTGTTAGCACAGCGCTCCAGGATTTTTATGGCATTGTCCTGAGACTTAAGAACGAGACCATCTACGGAAACAACGGTCTTATCAGATCAGCTAGAAGCTCGAGCTGAGGAGCATCCTGTTGTCGCGCAAATCATGATTGACGGTAGCATCAATTAGGACAGAGCGCTTACGGAGCATTTGTCTTCACCACAGTCCTTCAAACCTTCAAAAAGATAACTTCTTGGATTCCTGTGCGAGCTATATAAGAAATCGCCAGTCGTTGTTCGATAAGAGAGTGAACGTAAACGGACATGGAGGAAAGAACAGTACGTCTGGTTTTTAATGCGAATGCCGTCGGAGCAGACAGCAGACTCCGCCATCGAAGCGGCAATGGCGGAGCCGCGAAGGCGAGGAGGGTAGGGCATTGCAATGCTCCAGCTTTTAGTATGCCTCACCAGGTCGTAAATCGAGGCATTGGCCAAATTCTTTAACTTTGAATAAACTGCGGTAGGAGGCGAACTGAACTGGGCACACAGGGGAGTGGGACTTCTGTAGTCGGAGCTGCCGATAAACTCGCTACTTCGGTCGACCTAACACGCACACATCTAGCCCGTCGGGGGTTGGGCACAATTTCAGGCGATGGAGTGCACGTATATGCACAAATAGCGAGCTACCAGTTTTGCAAGCTCACAAGAATGTGGGTAGCCACCTAAAGAATCGTAGGCTGAACCGCACCGGCGAGAAAGATTGCATGCTGCCGCAAACGCTAAGTGTCAGGTGGGAAATGCCTTGATAGGGAGCACAAGTTGGAATCTACATTTCCCCGCATATCATGTACGAGTAAGATAGCAACGCTGGCAGTTGGCAGTCTACTTCGAAGACTGTTGACAGATAGGAATGAGCGCAAGAGTAGCATGTATACAGTAGTTCAAGACTTCACGTCACAGAAACTTACCGTGGCGACGTCACTGATATGCTCTGGTATGCCTCGTTGTGGTCAACCGCGACTAGCGAACTTGAGAGCAAGTGCGCAAGTGCTCGCAGCGAAATGCGTTACCAAGAAATGAGAGCCAACTAGGCCTGAGGTCTTGTGAGGTTGAGACAACTGAGACGAGAGGCATGGATAAGACAAAGATAATTAGCAAAATTAATCCCCTGAACCTGGCTCGAACAGGTGACATTGAGATAGCCAATTACAGTCTCACGCTCTTCCAACTGAGCTATCAGGGGTTTATCTAAGGTGTCAAGGGTATATCTATAATTAACATTGGCTTAGACCGTTTTCGGTCGCCTATGCAGCCGAGACGACATTTCCCTAACACACCCCCGCACCATAACGATGGCTAGCACGTATGTGTCCAAAGTATGACAATTCCCCATCTCGACGCTAATCGGTTGTAGTGCACCAAAAACTTCCTGGGCGGACGAAATCGACGAGCTCGGTGCGTATGAGCTTCATCGCAATGCGCAAAAAGACGGCTTGATAATCTTTGTCCAGAGCAACCCAAGGGCGAGGACTACGTCGATGAAAACGGTATCCGTACAATAGTAGAGACCGTCATCAACGATGAGGGGAAAACGGTTAAGGTCAGTTGGTACAGGATGTCAGCCCTGAAGCGCGTTACTGACAAAGCTGACGTCCCTTCCGGCATTACTGGCTCACAGATTACACGGAAAATCAAGCGCATTTTGCAGAAGCAGGTTGTAGATCATACTGTTGCTGAACGCAAAACTTGGGCCAAGTTTGGCCAAGAAAAGGGCAGCAAACCAGGCCCGGACAGAGCAACCACTACTATCGGTGAGAGCGTCATGCTGAAGCTCAGCGCTGGAAACAAGCAGTCCGAGCCTGAACCATCCGCCGAGCAAACTTTGAAGAGCAATCTTGTACGTGCTGGTGCCGGCAAGGTCGCCTGCCGCCTTTGCAAGGGCGATCACTTTACAGCAAAATGTCCCTACAAGGACTCTCTTCCCGGCCTAGATGGTACAGGTGTGCAGAGTCTCCCAGTTACGGGGAAAAGAAGCTAACTCCAACGGTTGTGGCAGATACTCCTCCCTTTGGTGGCGATGATGCCGCTGCACCCGAACCCGCCGCACCAGCTGCAGGCGGCAAATACGTCCCTCCTTCAATGCGTAATGGCGCTCGTGGACCTGGAGAGTCTATGGGCCGGCCAGGCGGCTCCCGTGACGATCTCCCAACCCTTCGTGTCACGAATATCTCGGAGGATACACAGGAAAACGACCTGCGCGATCTTTTCGGTGCATTCGGTCGTGTCGCGAGGGTGTACGTCGGTCGAGACAGAGAAACGGGTGCGGGCAAGGGTTTCGCGTTCGTCAGCTTCGAAGACAAGGCTGTTGCGCAGCGGGCGATGGAGAAGACGCATGGACGTGGATATGACAATCTGATCTTGAGCGTACAGTGGTCACGTACGTCCTGGTCTTCAATCTGCTTGTGATGGCTACTCACCGCTGATTCCGCAGAACCAAGGGAGCAACGATAGACGGCTTGTCCCAAGCGCTTCACTAACATGTTGGCTCGGTGCTGTAACTTCTATAACACCGCTTCTGCCTTTCCTTATCTGTCTAACTGCATGCTCTTTCATTACGCTCGCGCAGAATTGTAAGTGTACGGTAATCTCCACCGATCTCACTACGCAAGTTGTTGGACTCATCCACCCGAGTATTAACCAAACAAGTATAAATGGAAACAAACGAGTTACATGAGCTTATCATACATTTTCGATGCACCAGACACGTCAAACAAGGCGTACTGCTCACTACTCGAGAGCGTTAGCATTGGCTTCCCAATGACCCTTCATCACCAGAGTGTTACTTCCTCTGCCCACGGTTGGCAACATTCGCACCGATATCCACCAACCTGCCGCGGCTACCCGACCCTGTGCCCGACCCGCCGTTGAGCGCGTTGAGCTCTGCGTTAATAAGACTGTCATTGGTGAAATCGTCAGTGGAGTCACCGGCATCCCCACCCGAGTTCGCTGCGTTGGCGTCGACATTGATGAGCCTTCCATTGCCCCCCGTATTGCCACCAGTTCCGCCGGTGTTGGCAGCGTTGGCATTGATGTTGACGAGGCCGCCGCCGTTGCCGTTACCGCCAAAGCCCGAGCCAAATCCGTTGCCCGACCCGCTACCCGAACCGTTGCCCGACCCGCTGCCCGACCCGCTGCCCGACCCGCTGCCTGATCCGTTACCCGACCCATTACCCGACCCGCTACCCGACCCACTGTCTCCCGCACCGTTATTGCTACCTGGGCCTGTGCCCGTATCTGGACCGCTGCCACTGCTTGATCCGTTGCTATCACCCGTGTCTGAACCATCGGAGTCACCGGTGCAGGTGCCATCAGTGCAGCTCTGGTTGGGGTCGGGACCTGTACCGTTGCTGTACCCGCTGCTGCCGTCCGACGACGTATCGCTGCCACTGGCGTCACAGGAACTGTCATTGAAGCCCTGGAATTGTTGGTAGCAGGGATAGGTGTTGTATTGCGCTGCAAGGAGCCGCGTTATTGACTCGATGTATCAATCCGGAATTTTGGCACACTCACGTCCACGGGCTACAAGGCCGGTACCAACTGGGCGCGCTTGAGTTACCGAGATGGCAACAAAGATTGCGGCCATGAGCGAGCTGAGGGGCGTCGTGAAATGCATGATACTCGTGAAGAGCGTAAGAGAGATGTGTTCGAGATCGTTCGAATGAAGAGCAACTCGCTCTTCGACCGAGGAGAAGAAGTGAGAGAAAAAGTCGCTGTTTGTGACAACACTGGCTCTTAGAGAGTATGCCTTTTATCCTCGCTTCCTTCCCCTCCTGTCTATCCATCCAGAGCATCCCAGGCACGCGGTGAAGGTACGCAATGTGATCGTGCGAGCACAATCAACGTCTCTCAACGATCGCAACGCTCCCAGTGAGGAGGATTCAAATTTCACGAGCTCGTGCTTGGGCTGTACGACGACATACTTGCGCGGAACGCGCTGTAACTCAGTACCGACACCACAAGAGACCTGCCCAGATTATGCGAATGTCACGCCCTCGGACGAGGCTCCGCTCATTGCGGCCCTCCGACGTCAGTCGTACCTCTCGAGATTGAGAGTAGAAGCCGGGCGAATGGATCTGATCCACTTCCCGCTGTGGTGATGAGTGGTACATCCGCTCGGAAGAAGGCGGCGCACCAGCGGAGGCGACGTTCTGCGCGGATGTGATCGACGATGTATGTGGCGCACGATGAACGAAGTGTTCGTTCTCTACGTCATCTGATATTATGTCTTGGCTATATGTGTGGCGCGATACATGCTCCTATTTTACGGCTGCCTGAGGCGGGCAGTCTACTAGAATGTGGCGGAACTTCAACGAGGAAGTGGCGCACAGAGATATCCACATATGGTAATTCTCCAAGTTGTATACAGAGAAACTACACAGCAGTACTAGGCCTGGGCATGAGGCAAAATTGAAAGCGGTCCCCAGAAAGGCGAAGCATCCACAGCGAAGGTCAGTGCCACACTCCGCCTTGATCTGCTCAATCAATCGTGCGCTGATGTCTTCCGTATTTTTTGAGAAGATGCGGGATATGCACACCTAGGGATGGCAAGTTTGTCCTGACGTGGTCTGCGGCGGATGATGTGCCAGCACATGGCACACATGTATGATTGAATGGGCGAAGCGCCACATGGACGTACTTTGAAGCTTGAGATCTGAGGAGGCAACGTTGAACCACATCTGGCTTAATTTGTCATGCTGAATGCCATTGCAATCCGAGGCGCATACTACGACTGATGCTGCAGGCGAATGCTACTATTGATCTAGACGTCAATTTCTGGTCTATTGAATCCAGCCCTTCTCCTTGAACTCTTTAACAATGTCGGCGGCAGTTTCGTCCATCCCGCGACACTTCAAGCCCAGAATACGATCGCTCTTCTCAGTGATGTAGCAGACCATATATACTGCATCCTTCGGATCGTACGAGGACTTGCCGGCCGGCAGCGATGGCTCAACCTTGCGTGCGGAGTTGACTACACGATGCAAACTGTCAGTGGATATGTGCGGCAAAAACATACATGTATGCATACTCCAATCTTGCCAGTTCCACGGGCCAAAAGAGACAATGATACGTTCGCCACCTGCTTCTGGTTTCTGCAGAGCAAGAGCATGGGCTAGGCCGAGATCGCGGACATCGACCCATGATGAACTGCAACAGGCGTCAGATAGGACTTAAAGGCACGTGCGAAGTAGACGAACCTGATGCTAACGAGCTGCTCTTCAGTCCTAGTGCCCTTTACGACGGTGTTGTACCAGTCGAGCATGGACGTGTTGAGGTCCTCAGCTCTGGCAACTTCATGCAAGGTCGGGCCCCAGACGAACGGCGGGTTGAGCACCACAACGTCAAACTTAATCTTGCCCTTATTGTCCTCTGCAAACTGCCATGCGGCACGCTCGGCGAGCGTCTTGCTTGCGCGGTACATATCCTGTCCTAGGGCGCCGGTGCCCTTCGTCTCGACCTCCTTCACCGACTTCTCGTTCCAGTCCTTCTCGCTGAACGTGCGTGGCACGACGTCCCCCGTGAGAACGGTCGCGCATGAGGAAGTGATGACCACCCGCCGCACATTGTCACCGTACTGCTGCGCGCTTTGCAGCACAGTGCGTGTGCCTGCGACAGCGGGAACGATAAGCTCCTGCGGGTCCTTGGCGTTCAAGTAGAAGGGAGAAGCGGTATGCTCAATCGCATCTACTCCCTTGACGGCGTCGTCAAACGCGCCTTCCTAGACCCAATGTCAGACATAATCGGTTTCTGAGCGAGAAAGAACGGACCTTTGTGATATCCGGGACAACGACAAACTCGAGTCTGTCGGCGTAGTCCTTGAACGTATCCTTGAGATACGGGATGGACGACTCGCGACGAACGGTGCCGCGAACAGAGTATCCTTGGTCAAGGAGGTTTTTGACGACCCAAACGGCGATGTAGCCGTTCGCACCAGTGACGAGGACCTTTCCTTTCGTGACGGCTGGCATGGCGGTGGCGGTGGGAGGAAATGAGATTGCTGGGTTATATTCGGATGTCTCATTGCAGAAGGACGCCTCTTTATATAGTCCTTGTGATCACTAAGCACACGGATGGTGAGAGATGATGACGCATGTCGACAACATCCAGCAATGCGCGGCAGTCCAACGCGCACTTGTCGTCGGCGGACGGCCGATGGGGGAACGCCTGGGGCTCCGATGCCTTGTGATGAGAGGCTGCCAGACGGCGGTTAACGGCTTTCGACGGATTACATGACTGAGATTTTGAAACACGACCTTCTCTCGGATTGCACTCGGAGCCCGCTAGGCTCGTTCCCACGCCAGTTTCTTGCGCGTTGGTGGCGAGTGTAGGCGAGTAGCAGTGCGATCCATCCCAAAAATAGAACAAATCAGCCAGTCCCTGGTAGTATATCGGTTAGTACACGCGCCTGTCATAAGTCCATGGTGCGCGCGAAAGCGGGGTTCGACTCCCCGCCAGGGAGGTTGTTTTGCTCCAAGGTCTGCTGCATCCCCTTGAAATTTTAAATTTTGAAAATTGAAAAGAGGGGGTTTCTTTTTGGCTTTTCCCTGATGCAGCAAGATCGATAGTTTTCCCGCGTGGAGACTGGGCACAGAATCATCGTGGTGTGATAGAGATAAACTCGTGGGCACGCGCGCACCGTATGTGCCCGCGGCGTCTTTAGTGCTGCATTGTGCGACGGCCGATAGCCTGCTTCAGTGCAGCGCCCACCACTGGCAGATGCAGACAGGTCTTGCACCGATGGTACACGATTTGTCAAGTGTGGAGGCGGAAAGACCAGAACTTTTTGGCAACTCTGCGTACGGGCTCGACTCGGAAGATAGCTGGTGCCGGAGAGACGAGCACGTACTAGACAGAATTATGAAGACTCCACGACTGTCGGGGTAATAGACAAGCTTTGTCCATTCGAATCCATCGTTGAACCGAATCCTTATTTCCAAGCTTGTTACAAGCAAACAGACTCTACTGTTGCTGGCTGGGAGCAATGCGCGCCAAGAAGTTACATCTCTGGCGTTGAGTACGCGGAATATCCTCCATCCGCGTATTATTGGTCTCAAACAAAATCCTGTGCACGCTGTCATACTTTGTCCACCTCGGCGTCCCATCCGCTCTCAAGGTGTTGGGATCGAGCGTGCGGATGAAGCTCGTCCAGTAGCCCTGGATGACGGGAATTATATTCGCGTTTGTCGTGAAGTAGCTGGCAGGTGGCGTGCCCGTCGTGCTGTTCAACCCCCATATTGCGTTGATTTCGATCGTGTGGGGGACACCGAGACCTTCTTCGAGCTCAGTCGGGTCTGTTACGTTGTAGCTACCACACCCGGGCCGTCAATATACTCGTATCCCTCGGGTGGTGGATGAGAACTCACTGGTAGTTCCAGACAGGCTGCGTGTTGTATTGGAGGAGCGAGTCGCTCACGAAGATGCCTGGGCAGATGTAGCGCGTCTCTCCGTAGGCAGAAGCCGCGTTGAAGTAGAACTCTCCATGATCAGGGAACTGGTCGGCGACTGGGTAGTTGGCATCAATGGTGGACAGGTCATCTTCGGTAAGGAACGGGAAATTGTCCAGCAGGAAATTGTTCATATCCTCTGTCGAGTTAAGGTTATTTGGAGTGAAGACTGTTCCCTCATTCGTATCGTCTCTGAGACTATCTGAGCAGAGATGCCGGAAAATGCTGGGGACCGCGCTTACCCGAACACAGATGGCACGTCGACAAACTGGCCCTGTGCGAAGAGATTATATGGAATGTCCGGAATCAAGTCGCCGTCTACGATGGCGCCATACAGGAAGTTTGGAGTACCGTTCCTCCCAGGGTACGGAATAGCGATGCTCGCATTCTGGAGAGTAGCGATGTCCAATACCCGCAGACAAGCCAATGTGTCCGACCCGTTATCGCAGCCAGTCCTTTCGACGAGCGCATCGTACGCGAACTGCATACCGGATACGTTGAAGATGGGCGGGAAAGATTGGGACTCGGCTATGACGCCGTGGAAGAGGTCTGTGTGTGAACCTCCGAACGCAGTCAAATGAACAGTGATCGATTGAGCCCCGGCGCTATCGCCACTGAGGACGACATGTTTGGGATTACCACCGAACTAAGAGGCAATTTGCATGAAATTTTCTACCCGAAAGCTAGGAACGAACCTGCTCAATGTTGTCTTGTACCCACTGCAACGCCTTCCTCTGGTCCAAGAACCCGTTGTTGATGCTACCATTGGCCTGAATTTCCGCGCTTGCCAAGAACCCGAATGTACCGACGCGGTAGTTGTGGGTTACGACGATCATTTGGAAGTCGGCGGCCTCAATGAGCTGCGATCCGTTATAATCTGCATTCGAGAGATCGTTGAGGCCACCGCCCTGGATGAAGAACATCACGGGCAGCTTGGAGTCGGTTGTTGCATGTGAAGGAGCGTAGACGTCTAAGAAGAGGCAGTCCTCGGCGTGCCCGGACTGAGGAAATCCTGCACCGGTGGAGAAGCACAACGGTCCATGCTATGAGATGTTCAACTCAACACACACCACGAGTCCAGTGTAAGATGTGAGCATACCGTGTTGGCTATTTGAACTGTGTCGTTGGGCGGCGGGTCTGCGGGTGCGCTGAACCGCAAGTCACCTGTGGGTGGTGCGGCGAAGCGCATGCCGAGCCATTGACTGACACCATTGGAGAGCGCAATACCCTGATACTGGGTATGACCCAAGTCGACGAGCGGGTCGACAGCCAACGCAAGCTCAAGGCTAGCTGCAAGTGTGACCAGTATCCGACGCATCCTTCAACCAGTAACGTCGAGATGGGAGAGGGGAGATTCGGAAAGACGTTCATTGGATGTCTATCACTTGATGCTTCATATAGAGCTCCAGCTTTGAGTGGACGGACCGAGCCAGACGGGCAATGGAACGACCACCACCTGATGCTTGACCTGAATTACGATGGAAGGCTTGACAGACTCGGCGATCGTCAGCAGACCACCAGACCCTAACACACATGGTGGCGCTCGTGAGAGCGTAAGGTCTGCTAGGAAGACTACTCGTGAGATGCGAAGCGCGACTGCACGCGGCTTGGGTACACGCTGACCACGCTGACCTTAGCCAAGAATGAAGCGGCCCGCGCACTCGAGATCGTCAACTTTAGTCTCTTTCGCGTATGTTGCCCCCACGCTTCGTACGCGTCACCTCGTCGGGATGAGGGAAAAAGATCGTGGAGGACAACATGGGGTTTGGGGCGCTTCCAAAGAGCTTTGTGGCACCATGCGCTTCGGGCTCTCTGACGTCAACAGCATGGGCTTGGCGAACTAAACCACAGGACGTGAGAGCTACGGTAAATTTGACTGTGGCACTATGCAAGCTGATCATACAAAGCGAGCCTAACGCGCAGCTTAGCGACAACCTCACCGAACTCTGTCTCATTGTGCAATAGCACGTCCGCGCGCGACACAATTTCCCGCTGCAACTGCGATACCTTGTTTTCCTTGTGCTTCCTCAACGCTACAAAATCTTCCCCGTGTAGGTCCTGGCCGCTGGCCTGCAATCGGTTCTCGGGAGTCTCGAGCTGCCCGATCGCATCCTCAAGGTCTAGTACGGCAAGTCGCAAGTCGATGTCGATGGGCACGCTCGGCGGCGGAAGAGTGACGGTGAGCTCGGTGGATGTGTCGTGGATGTGTTTCAGAAGACATTCTTTTTGCTCTGATGCAACGCTCCGTTCTGACGTGCCACTAGATTTGGGTACGGGTGAGGTACTGCACTTAGTTGATTCACTTGGCATAGAAGTCGGGATTAAAGTAGGATTAAGCGTGTATGAAGCAGTTGGAGCTGCTGCGGGGGCGAGGCGCAGACAGGGGAAGAGTGTCGCAAAGCACGGAAAAGGTGGCTGAGGAGCTGGATGACGCGGTGGAGGTGGCAACATTGGCGGCACCGTCGCAGACACCGCATCTACCCTTGACTGCGATGCCTTCATGGCCTGTTGTGAGCCTGCGGAAGAAAAAGACGAGGGTGCAGGCTGATCCGATGGCAGCTCGTCAGACTTGTCGTGAGCTTCGGGGTAGTTGGACTCCGCCAAATGCTGTAGTGGCTTGAGAGATAGTGCTACAATAGCAGAATCGGTCCACTTACGAATAGCAGTCCGAAGCGCCCGCATGAAACACATTCAAGTCCGCCAGTCGAGCTCTGCCGCCAGGCTAGGGTCTGGGAGGAGCCACAATTCGGACAGCGTTGCGGCGCAGAGCCAGAATCCGGCGTTACAAGCCTTATATTGCTCGTCCTGGTGCCATTCGCCCGCTTGCGCTTGCGTTTTCTGCTCAAATTTTGTGTGTCTACGCGCGAGAGGTTCATCCTCAGAGCTGTCCGCAGACAGGTTTATGTGAGATATATCTATTGATGTCAAAATGAGTCGTCAACGGAAAGAAAGGGAAACAGGTGAATCACCTGCGTTCACTTCTACGAGGCGCGTACCTGGTGCTACGCCGTTCAAGTGCCCCGATATCCCCAAGTCGCCCAGCGTCACCGCGTGCACTGGAGCTTCGAGATTCATACTTGAGTGCAGTGGGCTATATGCCCAGTGCACAGTTAAGCTACGCTGAACTCTGGTGGGTGCCCCGTAGGAGAAGAAATCCGACGCAGATATGCGAGGGCGAGTCCCCCACGGACATATTGCGTGCAGTTCCCCGCGTCGAGATTCAACATGTGACAGAGCAGAGTACGTCCGCAGCTCTCACTTTGTAAGGAATAGTTCGGGTCCCAGCCGCCGCCAAGAAATACAGCGTAGAATGACGAGAACAAGCCTAGGACCAGGGCGGGCGGAACGTTACGGCGTTTGTTGTGATGTATTTGGTCCTCGGGGATTGCCGGTTTTGTCGCTTGTTGGATCGCCAAGTCGCTAACTTAGTCGCTGCCCGCCCCGTCCACAAAACAATCGTGGGCCACTCCTCTTTCACTTCTTTTTCTCCCTTTACTTCACCATAATCTGTTTATCCCTACCATCACATATAGGCTCCCAAAAGGAGACCGACCGTTTGAATATGCCGTGCACAGAGCCCGCGTCCCCTGTCGAGCTACCTCCTCACCGCCCTGAACCTCTCCGGAGAAGTCACTCGGCCGCTTCGATACACTCGCTGCCCACTCCGCCACGTACCCGAAAGCGAAAGCGGTCGCGTTCAACTCACTCACGCGCCGCAGACAGCGACTCGGAGATTGATGAACGTGCTGCGGGTAACGCGTCAGAGGAGGAAGAGGACGTGCTCTGGCACAAGGCAGAGATAAAGGGCGCTGTACAGGTCGGCTCGAAGAGGCGGAAGCTGCTCCAGGTGGACAAGATTGCAGCAGAACTCAGCGGGCGGGCAGCAGAGGACGAATTCTGGACGAGCTCATATAACACACTCGCTGGAAAGGTCAAAGATAAGAGCAAAGCTGACACAAAGCCCGACACGGCGACAAGCTCTCGTCTGCGTTCCGAGTCTCCAGAACGATCTCTTTCAGCGTCACCTCCTTCGCGCCTGCTCAAGCGGAATCGCACTGGTTTGCTGTCGCCCCCTCAGTCCAAGCGGCGATCATCACCTCGAGTCAAGCGGTTTGCAGTGCCGCCATTGATCTTGGAGGAGCCATCTGAGGAACCAGAAGATGCTCCGAGGACCCCTACGCGCTTGCGCACGCCTCCGCGGAAATCAAAGCCTGCGCCTGTGCCCCCAGCCCCGAAGAAAGGCGGACCAGAGCGTGACACTCCAAACAACCCGTTTTTGGACAGCGATGGGAGCTCGTTTGGAGCAGAGACTCCGGATGCAGAAGGCGTAGTTGCAGGTCCTAGCTCAGAAAGCTCAGCCCCAAAGCCGAGAGTGATTGAGAAGCCCACGATCACCTACGTCTTGTACGTACTCGCGAAGCTCTGTAGGTATATCTCTCATCGTAATTTCTAGCCGCGGTGTTCGTACGGAGTTCATCAACCCTCTCTATGATCCCAAATACCCTGAGACGGGTGTTGCTCCTGAGCGCGATGACGCTCCGTCCAAGCTCCCACCCGAGCACGTTGACTTTGAGCCCGATGAACATGTTCTACCCACAAAGCTGTTTGCTACAGATAAGAAGTCAGGTCGGCGCAGGCGCCATGTCATGCCTCCGAGCGAGGCGGATGAGAAACCCCCAGCGAAGAAAGCTCGGGCCAAAGGCAAGCAGCCCGCGCCGAAGCAGAAGAGCGAATGGGACACGTCCGACGAAGAGGACAACACCGAGACCAAGGAGCAGCCTGATGAGCTCACGCTTCCGCGGACGCCGTCGCTACGTCGCAGTCCGCGCTTGGCGCGGCCTCAGGCGGAGGGCAAGGAGCGCGCTGAAATATTTAATTTGACGCGAGAGGTTCACACCACGCCTCGTCTTCCCGAAAAAGACAGGAGCGACCCTGCCAAACGTGCATTCGGCGTGCATGACATGCCCCCGCCTCCTCCGAAAGCTCGGGCTCCTGAGCCCGACCTTGTCGTCAAGGTTGACGAGGTCCGGGAAGTCCGGAGGGAGACAAGAGTCAAGGTCACTCCGCCTACGCCTCGCCTCGAGAGTGAAGTCGAGGAGGTGCATGAAGTTCGTGAGACGACGCATGTCAAGGTTGCATCTAGCTTGCCTTCGAGAGCTGTCGCACCTCAAACGAAGCCGAAGACTCCTCCCGAGGCTGCTGTTGTACCAGTTGAAGACGTAGATGAGAATCCCTTCCTATGATCTTTTCGTCCCCCTGCCTTGTTGCACGCACCCTTTTGCTGACGCTTCGCCATCTTCCGCTCTGCCCACTACTGACCCACGGTCATATGTTGTCTCTCCTTATGTTGCACCCGATCTTTTCCTCTGCCGAGCGATACGCCGCTATCTTTACTGTACACCCTACTCATTGCGACACCCTATACCACACATATCCGACTACTGCGACACCCCCTCCATATACAGCCGCCATTCTGCTCTTTTTCCCTCTTTTCTTTTCTTGCTTCTGTCGTGGACCGTCTTGCTTTGTCACGACCCCGCGCGTTTAGCCCACGTTTTATCTCGAATCAATCCGAGATAACCCATTGTTCTTGTTCATGAGTCTTTCTTTCTGTTGGTGTAAGTAGGTGAACTATGGCATGTACATGACGAGTCTACGGATTTTCACCGTATGTACAACGAGAATGGAAAGCCTCAATGGCTTTGTCGACTACAGCGTTTGAAGATATGCTGTGTACATCCGACTACCTAGTGCACACACAGAGACATCGTCTCCGGTCTCATAGCGTGGATTCAGCACGCATAGTCGGGTGCTCGACAGACAGACGAAGGGGCACAACAAAATACCTTGGTTGGATGCCCACCATTATATTGTCGCACGTACAAGGACAGGTCCCTACACGAAAGAGCCGAGTTTCTATTTCAGCCGCATAATGTACACTTTACTTTCTGTTTCCTCTCTTCAGTATACAATTACCTAGTCTGTCTATTCCAAGTTGTCACACGCGCTCAGAACCTCGACCGCGCAGCTTTCAGGGGAGCAAGTCACTCCTTGCGGTGCTTCTGGTAGTAGTGGATGAGGCCCGTGGTCTGGCAGAATATGCATCAGCACAAGCAGCAGGCAGCGGGAAGGTGAAACGTACCGAAGAGTCATGGCCCGTGACGTCCTGAGGCTTTTCGAGCTGCGAGAGGATGTTCTTCGCGAGGACCTTGCCGAGCTCGACGCCCATTTGGTCTGCGGACGGGCGTCAGCACGCGAGCTGGGCTCGCCGTGTCTGACAACGGGTATATGCGACTCACCGAAGGAGTTGACGCCCCAGATGACACCTTGCGTGAAGATCTTGTGCTCGTAAAGCGCGATGAGCGCACCGAGCGTCTGCGGGTCGAGGATCGGGAACAGGATGCTGTTGCTCGGGCGGTTGCCCACGAAGACCTTGGACTTGACGAGCGGCTCCGACGCGTTCGGGCCCAGCTCCTGCACAGGACGTGAGCACTCGTCCACACAGCACAGCTAGCCTCGAGGTGCATACCTTGCGGACCTCCTCCTCAGTCTTGCCGAACGCGAGCGCCTCGGGCTGAGCAAAGAAATTAGAGAGCAGAATGCGGTGGTGCTTTGAATTCGCGATCGGGTTGTGCGTCGTCGCGGGCGCGAGGAAGTCGCACGGGATCAGCTTCGTACCCTGGTGCACGAGCTGGTAGAACGAGTGCTGGCCGTTGGTACCAGCTGCACCCCAGATGATGGGCTGCACCACGATCGGTCAGCTCGGATGCAGTGTATGAGCTGAACAAAGGGGACGTACGCCAGTCTCGTAGTCCACGCGCTGACCGCCCTTGGTGACCGACTTTCCGTTCGACTCCATGTCACCCTGCTGGAAGTAGTCCGCGAACTTGTGGAGGTACTGGTCGTACGGCAGGAGCGCGTGCGTCTGGGCACCGTAGAAGTCATTGTACCAGATGCCGATCGCCGCGAGCAGGACGGGTAGGTTTTGTTCGAGAGGTGCAGTGCGGAAGTGCTTGTCCATGCCGTGCGCGCCCTTCAGCAGGAGCTCGAAGTTGTCGTAGCCGATGACGAGCGCGATGCTAAGGCCGATGGCGCTCCACAGCGAATACCTGCCGCCGACCCAGTCCCAGAACTGAAACATGTTCTGAGACGAGATGCCGAACTCGGTGACGGCCTTGGTGTTGGTGCTGAGCGCGACAAAGTGCTTCGCGACGTGTGCTTTGTCTTTGGCGGAGGAAAGGAACCAATCACGCGCACTGGTCGCGTTGGTGATGGTTTCTTGCGTGGTGAAGGTCTTGCTGGCGATGATGAAGAGGGTGGTCTCGGGGTCGCACTCAAGGAGAGTCTCGGCGAGGTGGGTACCGTCTATATTGGAGACGAAGTGTGCCTTGAGGTCGCGCTTGCTGTAAGGCTTGAGTGCCTCGGTGACCATGACAGGTCCAAGGTCAGAGCCGCCAATACCAATGTTGACGATCGTATTGATTGCCTTGCCGGTGTGGCCTTTCCACGCACCGCTCCTGACCGCCTCCGTGAACTCTTTGATGTGTGCGAGCACACCCGAGACGTCGTTCACGCCAGGCTCGCCAATTTGCCAATCGTTGAAGTTACGAAGCGCGACGTGGAGAACGGCACGGTCCTCAGAGGTATTGATGTGTTCGCCCGAGAACATCTTCTCTCGATAGGACTCGAGCTGTGCCTCGCGGACAAGTTCGAGCAGTGTCGAGAGGACATTTTCGTCGACAAGGTTCTTGGAGAAGTCGAGGAGGAAGGTCACCGAGGGACCGTCAGAGGAGACATACTCGCGACTGAATTTGGCGAAACGCTCGGAATCCCGCGAGAAAAGGTCTCTAAGGACGAGCTTGGTTTTTTCGGAATCATAGAGCTGCTGGAGCTTCTTCCAAGCAGTGTATTCTGGCGGAACAAGTTATCAGCGTCAGCTTCGTTCGAGGGGCGCGAGGGGCGTGTCGAGGCGGGAGCATCGAAATGCCTCTGTGGTGCGGACCATGCAGTCGGAAAGCAACCCGTCGCGTACATAGTGGAATCTCCGAGCCGATATATCCATGCCATATCCATCGCTTTCGATCTAAGCGTTATGCAGGGAATGCGGGCCGACACCAAAGAGCACTATCTTGTTCGCATTGCCCGCACCAAGATCGACCCAGATCCAATACGCAGGGCGGATCGCGTAGAGGGGACAAGGCATCTCGCACTGAGAATCCCAGTCTTGCAGAGTAGGGTGTATAGAATGAGAGGGGACCTGCGAGCGCTCTCGTCGCGTCCACCCCAGGGCCAGCGCATCGCGTCGAGGGCGGGGTGTGTGCTCACCTGTGGCAAGGCGGCCGCTCATTATGGGGGAATGTGATGGGAGGAAATGAAGAGGTCGAGGATAGAGGGGACGCGCGAGAAGGGAGAGCTGCACGGTCCGGACTTATAACCTCGCCCAGTGAGATCTGCTCATCGGGATCTGGATTCCCTGATGTCATGCATACGCCGCAGCGGTAGACGCCCGATGGGTGAGCACGGACGCCGTCTCTCGCCCTGCGTTCTCACAGCTCACGCTTGCCGTTCGTTACCGTACCTCACGTATCCTACTGCTCTGCGAAGAACTGGATGTCTGCAGCTATTGTGGCCGGTATATCGTGGCAGAAGACCTTCCGGAAGGGGCCAAAGTCTCTGTAAGCTGGCTTGTCCCGCACGTGCCTCGTTGGCTGGCCAACACTGTCCCTACCCTGTCCCACAGCCAATGAGATGCTCCGTGGTATTCTCTCCGGGCCTGCTACAACGGTGATGAACGCTTTAAAAGAACCAGAGACAGTTATCGATGGTCATGTCAGGGCCGCGCAGCGCTTCACAAAAAGCCCTGAGAGCGCCTTGTTTATTTGACCCTGTTGTGCAAAAGCCTTAGATCCTAACAAAACCAAATAAAGACCGGAGCTTGGATGTATACCACTTTCTGTTCGAGTGCCATAACATAGCCCCCGCCAAGTCAGGCGAATGTGAGCCTTTCGATGCATAGAAACTGCAAGTCGCTGACTCTCAAACTCTTGGTGAACAGCGAAGCCGTCGTATAGATGCTTTCCATGTCTGGGAACTGGCGAAGCCGAGTCGTCGAATGACATCGCCTGCGTCCGGTCGTTCCAAGAGGCCGATGAGTTTCATTACTGTCTCCCTCTTTCACGGCGAGTCTCATGTAGAGGAATAGGGATACTTATCTTAGTTCGTGACCAGGCGCTTTGCCCTGATTTGGCGCAAGCGTAGTAGCTGGGCGGACTGCCCGGGCAGCCCTGTCGCTGTCGCCTCGTCACTTTCGCGTTCCCAAATATACACCGACTCTGACATCTGCGACATGCTCACCAATAGCGGCGACGACGAGCCCTGGCTCCCCTACCGCTCTCTCGTTTTCTAGCACACTCCAAATTTCATCGGCGACTTCCTGCGTTCGTGCATGGAAGAAATCAAGCACATCTCAGTGCAACCGTGTCCTGCTGTGACGAAGCAAGTGGATAAATATTAGCCTGGACGTGCTTGCTGGTGTACGGAGCCCGCGAAACACCATTGGCTTACGCGACTGACCATGTCGAGGATCTCGCGCACATATACGACGTGGCTCAGTGCGACATCCAATTTGCTACTCAGGATGTCGAGTCCGAGAAAAACAAACCCCCCATTTTACAAAATCATGCTGAAGTTGATGTCCTACGTAGCTGCACACTGGCCGGAGGTTCGTACGCGCTTGTCAGCGGTGGAAGTGCCGGAAGATGGTGCGCTGGCCCCCGCGAAGGCCGATAAACAGAGCCGAGATGAAGACGGCTGGGAGAAAGTGTTCCAAGGTCCAGAGTAAGTGTTTGACATCCTCGCGCTGTCAGTAATGCTCATACTCATAACGGCATGGTCAAAAATCAAATGTATGCCGTAAAGAGAAGCTTCCTCTGCGAAAAGCCCGAACACGGAACCTGTTCAAGGTATTGGCAAAGTCACCTATTGCTGATGCTCATGGTATGTCGTTGAAGTACAGTATCTTGGCAGTTATCTAAAAAAACTCGTTTATGGATCAGCGATGGGCCGCCCACCGTTCCTACTTCTCCGCCCCTGTCACCGCAGTCTACCTACACCCCTCCCTCACTCTGAATCACCCAGTAGCTTCCACTCGTTTCAAACATAATTACCACGAAACACCTCCTTCAACGTGTTCCAGATCACCCGAGGTTGTGCTACCAGGCAATCATCCAGAGACCAAATTGTTTTGCGTCGGAGACAAGCCTTCATCATCGGACAGAGGTCAGCACGACGGCGAAACAAGAAGAACCCTTTCCCCAGCTACTGCAGGTCCGTTTGAGTACTACTCGAACACTCGATGTGCGGGTGATACCGAAGTCGTGGCTGGTGCGCCTGCCCAGCCCTATCCCCCAGCCTCAGAGGAGGCCGTAGGCGCTTATATTCGCCAGGGCACGTCGGTGCTTGCGGGGCTATATCGCGACCTCCCTTCGGACACTCAGTTCGTCTCTCCGTGGAACGTCTTGGCCGATTCTGACCATGTATGCTGCTGGCACTCGATCTGCTAGGACCTCTGCATTCGCTCCAACTGCGACCCGGATCCACTCTTTACAGCCGTCAAACTTCCCGTTTGGTCTGTAAACTCTACCGGAGCCGTTGCCATTGATCCTCGTCTCATCCAACCACGGAACAATGCGGCTCCCTCACCACTGGTTCATGTAGAGCGTATCCTTCAGGGGACCGCGGCCGATCCACTCAAACGTCCAGGTGACCATGCCACCATCACTGTCACAGATAGCCTTCCGGCCTTCGCATCATTCGCCTGTCGGGCATACCGCAGCTGCAGCCAAGAGACACGTCCGACAGCCTAGTCAGCTTCCGCAATGTCTATTTGTGCCTATGTTGCAGCTACATCCTACGATTGAGCATTGGGCCTCGGCGAGGTAGTGGTGCACTCTGCTTTAGATTACAGACAATTCGAAGCACATGGTGTCGGACCGCTCTGCAACATGGTATCATATTATGTCTTCTACTATGTGTCATTTTATTATGTCTCGAGCAAGTCACCTACGAGAGAGAGAGAGAGTTATATACAACAAGGCGTGTGTGATGTCCCTGTGAAGAGGAAGTCTATGATACATGCAAACGAACAGAATAACGATGCGACTGATCACAGTTCATATCAAGGGCAGATACAAGAGTACGTGTATGGCGACGAGAGAGGGAAGCGTACCGGAGCGTCTATGAGAGATAAGGCGAGGGGAGGTCCGGGACAGGTGTGCTATAGTGTGAACGCTCAGACTCAACTGAGTTGCGACGCGTTCGTTCGGGGGTACTTGTCATTGTTGGTATACTGGATGTGCTATACATCCTGTTATTGATAAGCTGCAGCGCATACAGAATTTAGTTAATACAGAAGTCATCACAGACAATCTTACTTACCCCTCCTATCGGTCTGGAGTAATCGATGTCGTCACGAAGACTGATAGCAGCCGAGCTGCGCATGCCTTGGCCGTCAAGATGTATACCAAGAGTGGGATCGAGTAGACCATCTGGTGCGTGGTGACCCGAACGTTCCGTTAACGCCGGTGACGGCATGCCCGCATTCGCCAGCATCCCAAGACCAGGCCAAACGAGCGTGCCGCGCAGTACAGATCCCTCGGGTATCGAGCCATATTGCTCGAATACGGCTGGCGGGAGAGAACCCAACGTCGGCGATTGCGGTCGGAAGATGGACGAGAGGCTTGCGCTGCTCGGTCCTTGGCGCGTAATCGTCGGGATGTTGGGCGACGGAGCTTCTGATCCCATGCGTGGCGTGCCGAACTGTGTGGTCATGGCGTTGTTCAATAAGACCTGCGAAGTCATCGAGCCCCGTTGCGAGGCTATAGACGCTGAAGATGAACTTGACGGTCGCCCGCCACGGACCCATCTCAACGGTCGTCCTAAGAAGCTTCCGCTTCGCTTTCGTGAGGCATCCTTGTTCTCCTCATCCTCGGTTACAGCATGATATGCTGTGGGAGGCGGCAGTTTCTGGGTCGGCAGCAAACTCGATGGACCAGGTGATTGGCGACCGTCAAGGCCTGTAGCCATACGATGGCCGATACTCGAGCTTGACGCGCCATGTCCCGCGGATGATAACGCGTGCCCATGGCCACTCAAAGACCCGTCAGCGTGCCCATGTGCAGAAGACTCAGCGTATGCCTGATCATCAATGGACAGACGGCTGATGTTGCCATTCCCGCTTCTACTCGGATGCATGCCAGGATAGGCGGCAGCCCGCGGAGAGCTTGCCATCATGAGGTGGTCGATGTCGGAGCCGCTTGAATCATTGAACGGATCGCTACCATGCCCTACCGAGGATAATGCCTCTCCAGGTAGAGGTGACAAGGGGCCTTCGAGAGGATCGGCTCCAAGGGCTACAACGTACGGGACGTCCTTGCCGCCGAGCCAGGCGGCCGGATCAGGCTCAGAGCTGGTGCGCAATCGCTCTGGTGATCGTGAAGGAGTCGGAGGTGTAAGACCATGTAAGTCAGACGACGGTGGCGGCGACGGTTCCAAAGCAGCGCCGTGTGTCAGGAGACCTTCGCTAGACCGGTATCCTCCGGCTTCGAGATCCGAGCTACTTTGAATTACATGACCTCTGTGTATCCGCTCGCCAGAGTTATCGTACGCGTCGTCAGGGTGTTCGAAGGGATTGTTGAGGAGGGCGCCAAATGACCCAGAACCCCTGCTAGCAACCGTCGCACCGGGGAAGCGTTCAGCCATTGGACTCCACCGCGAATCATGGTTATCGACGTCCTCGTCGTCTAAAACCGCGGTTCTTATCCGCGCACCGTTGGTGCGGCCGTATAACTGCCCAGTCGGTGGTCCAGCCAGTGCAGCAAGCTCTGCTTCGCGAAGGCGCCTGTTATGTTTCCGACGAGCAAGCACGATCCAAACACTAATCAAGACGACGAAAGCCACAACTCCGACCACAAGCCCACTAATTGCTCCAGGGTTATGGGCGAGACTAGAGAAGAGGATCCATCAGCCAAACGACAAACACACGAGCAAGGGTCTTACACGTTGTTGTTCGTGCCCACATTTGGTATCAGCGTCCCGGTCGCTATCGCCGTAGTGTACACTGTAGTGTGCAGCACGCCACCACTAGTGTACGATAACGTTACGACAGTCGTAGTAGTGATTGTCGATGTGTGAAACTTTCCAGACGGTGATGATGACACGACCCCAGTGTTGCTCATGACGCTGTCACTAGTGACCGGGAAGAACGGCCGCGTCGTAAGCGTAACGGTAGTGAGCCAGCGAGAGGAAGTCGTGCTCGTGGACGTAACATTAGTCGTGGTGTCGGGGACGGAGACCGACGTCATTGTATGGGCAGTAGTGACAGGTGAACCAGTCTCGAGCGAAGTAGACATAGAGCTGATGGCTGATGACGAGGGTAACGACAGTATTGGGCCCGAAAGGGAAGCCGATACAGACGACCCGATGGATATCGAAGGTAGGGATGACACCGAAACAACAGGTGTGGACGCAGTGACTGGGACTGACGTGCCGGTGAGGGACGTCACTGCAGAGGGCATCGAGTTAGATGCCCTGGCGACGGACGTAGTCATTGATGACGATGATGAGACCGACGTCGAGAGTAAAGTTAAGGTGGGCATCGGTGTCGAGAATGGTAGAGAGGACGGCGTAGAGACGGACGTGAGCACCGGCGGAAGGGAGAGTGATGCCGAAATCGACGCCGAGATGAGATTCGAGGACGACATCAGCGGGGGGATGGAAACAGTCGAGGGTGCAGATCCCGACAACGTGATTGACGAGTGGGAAGACGACGTCACCGGGGATGTGGGCAGCGATACCGAATTGGTTGAGACGGGTGGAACCGAGGATGTCGTGAGTGATGTTGTCATGAAAGGGATTGATAGCGAGGATAGCGAGGCGGAGGATGAGGTGGGTGTTGATATTGGCAGCAAGGACAGCGAGAGAGAGATTGAGAGTGAAGGCGACACAGGGGGAACAGACGTTAGTGATGCTGAGGAACTAGAGTCCACAATAGAAGTAGAAGAGAGTGAGTTGATGTGCGGAGACACTGCGGAAGAGGAAAGAGAAAAAGACAAGAGTAAAGACGAGCCGGAAGAGATTGTCGGTACAGGCGAGGAAAAGATCGCGGAGGATGTAAGAAAAGAACGCGATACAGTTGGTGCTACAGATAACATGGACGACACGGTGGTACTGGATACAAGGAGCGGTTGCGATGGGAGAGATGGAAAAGAGAGGGATAGTGACGTGAGCGGTAAGGGGGATGTGGGCGCATGTGTGAACGTTTGTTGAGATCCGGATCTCGATGTCGGTGATGGCGAAGCAGAAGACATATTACCCGACATAGTGCCGACAGCGAAGCTAGTTGAGACACCGGACAACGACAACACATGCGACGACACAGTGGACAAAAGCCAAGAGGACGTCTGGGAGAAAAACGTCGAAGATCGGGGCGAGGTAAATAAGCTCGCGCCAGCCGATGTCAACGAAGTCGCCGTCCAATTATTTTGCGAAACAGACGAAAGTGGAGAGGCCGTGGAGCGAACGACGTTTGTGACGGAAGTGGAGACAGAAATAGGAACCCCAGAATAAGGTGACGAAGAAAAGCTAGGCAGTCGAGACGCGCTGGTTTGCGTGCCCGTACCGAGGCTATCTAATTCCGTATTCGTGGGGGAAGATTGCATCAAACCCGAGACGGTCGATGTCGTCGAAGTAAAATATGAAGAATCTTCTATAGTGTGCGAACTGTAATCAAAGCGCGAAAGAAAGCAAAAGCGTGACTCCACGATGAGACAAAATGGACGCAAAGCAAAGTGGACTGAAAAGTGGCGAACACTCACGAGAGTATGGTTTGTGACGCCGGCGCAGTCCGTGTGCTGAGGGATGTTGAGGGTATACTCAGCGATAGCGGGAGAGAAGGTGTTGCAGAGGCGGACCCTGTTGAGGTAAGTGGGCTCGTGGGGGACATAGATGGTCGTGAAGAAGAGAGCGTTGGGAGGGAGAAACTCAGGCCCGGTGGGCCGGATGAGCTGGAAGACGGAGCGATAGGCTGGCTCAGGGAGCCCGACATCGACTGCGAGCTAGCCTGAGAAACTTGCGAGAGCCCAGCCGACGAGCTTGAGAATACATGACTCGAGGGCGACTGGCTTGTTGATGTGCCTGAACTACTCTGGGATACTCCCGAGCCCAAACTCGACTGTGAAGTTGGGGATGCGGGAGACGACTGCGAGCTTGGAGGCGGCGTCGACGATCCTTGGCTAGGCTGAGATGTCACAGAAACTGACACCGACTGCGAAGTTGGCGCCTGAGTTGACTGCGAAGACACAAACGATGACGACTGAGACGTCGAAGTCCCCTGGGTTGCGGTGGGCCCATGTCCGGAAGCCGCACTAACGCTCGATGACTGTGACTGAGATGACGACTGCGACGTTGGTGGTGGCTGAGGCGTAGTCTGCGAGCTCAACACCGGTGGCGGGTCTGACGATTGTGACGTCGCAGAGCTACTTTGGGGGAGCGTTGTCGGGGCCGGCGTTGAGGATGCAGGACCAGCGGGTGTCTGGAAAGATGAGGGGCTAGTTGAGAGAGGTTGAGAAGACTGGTTCTGCGATGGCCGAGGGGTCAACGAGCCACCCTGCGCAGTCTGGAACGAGCTAGAGGTCGGCAAGCTGGAGGTAGGTGCGGATTGCGACGTGGGGTTCTGCGACGAACCCTGGGAAAATTGCGATATCGTTTGCGACTGTGGTGACGGCGTGGGCGAACTCGGCTCATCTGTAGTTTGAGACGTCGGGGAGATTTGCGAAGGCTGAGCTGTCGACAGCTGAGATGGGTCGCTACCCGGAGAGGACTGGGACGTTGAAGGGGTAGAGTGCGACGTAACAAAATCTGTAGAGCTGCTGCTGGGTGGCGCCTGGGGCGTCAGCTTGGAAGCAGGCGTTGTTTAAGGACTGTGTCGATAGTATAGATGCGGGTACTCACCGTAGGACCAGCCAATAAACTAGAACTCGAGGCCCGGCCCTCACCGCTCTCCATTGCGCTTGAACTTGGATTGAATACCGGAGTTTGTCGCGCCTTGAGCAGAGCGAAATTAGTTTCAGGTGGCAGAAACACCGGTTGAGTCGTCAGTATGATAGCCGTATAGCTGCTGGTATGTGTAGGCATGGCTGTAGCGAGCGCGGGGGACCAAGTCATGCAGATGGCGAGGGGAATAGAAGACCATCGCAAGGGGCACCTGGCAGAGATAGGAGGGAACAACAAGAGTCAACGAGTTTGATGAAAGTCGAACAGGGAAGGCTTCATTACCTTGACGCTATCCGTTTGCGCGCGTCCGCCTGCACGACTTCGCAATCTAAACTCGACGTCGGCAAACAACACGTGCATCTCTTCGGCACCTGGAATGCTTGGCCAGCAGACAGACTCTGCGCAAGGACGTCAGAATACCGTAGGGGATTCTGAGGCATTCCGGGCCATGACGCAGAGGGGCAGCCGCAGGGTCCATAAGACAGGAAAGGACAGGAAGGGAGATGTACAGAGATATTAGCAGGAAATATGCTGAGATTTACGATATCGGTTCTTGACATGTCATGAAGATGGTGTTCGTAAGCCTGGAATGTCGAAGTGCAGGTCAGGAAGAATATGTGCGTTCGTGCCGAGGCCAAGGTAGCTGTTCCCTCTAGCAGAGGTGAACATAGGCTATATCAGATCCCTCCGTGAAGGCAATGTATGCGAAACTCCAATGGATGGCCAGAGGTCATTCCACAAAAGCTGGTCTCCGTCTGGGGACAAGATGCGAGGCTTGCGGCGAATTTCGAGGAGGGAGGGGGGGCGTCGAGGGAGTGGAAGAAAGCAGGCACTTGGGTAAAGGATTGTCGATATTTTGTAATTCAAAAAGGAGTGGAACCTCCTGTAGCTGGCAAGAGAGTTAAGACGGAGGCCATGGAAAGCGTGAACCCGGCACGCTACAACCAATCACACGTACCAACGATACGGCGCCCTTGCCTTTCTCGGTATCTGTGTTGTTGCCTTGTTTGCGATCACTTCACCACGAGACTCCCTCCTTCTACAATTCCCTTGCGATACTTCGTCTACACCGAGAGGTAGGTACTAGCTGTACAACGCACACCTCGAAAGCATCTCACCCCAGTTCGCGGGCCATCCTTCGTTGGAGCATCAGTTCCTGGTTGCGACGTCGCAGCCTCAGGTATTGCACGTTCACCAGCCAAAAAACCCCGAGCAAACGTCATCTATCAAGCAACATCTTCTCGCCTCGACCTTGCTTGATGGCTGGATTTTTCCCTCTCCTGTTACGTCTCACTAGCCGCTGACCACTGGTGTAGAATCTGTAGATCAAAGCCGTCGACATGCGCCGTCCCCTTGTAGCTACTTGGACTTCTGTAGGGTTATAGCTTTCGTTCATGCACCTTGTGGAACTCACGGCTTTTAGATAATTAATGTGAAAGGTTGTCACACGCAGATGGCTGTGTATACGTGCTGCGTTCGCTCGATCTATCCACGAATGCCCCTTCGTCCAGACTTTTCCGTGCGAATCGTGAGTCAATATAGATCAATATCTTGTGCTCCCTCTGCTTAAGTGTATACGCACTCCATCTCGGTGCCGTCACGTCGTCATGGCTGCTGCTTCGCAAGTCCGATTTGCCCGCCAGCTTACGCATCTTGCTCGGTGGTGTTCGCCCTTTATCCTGCTTCGAGGCACACTCACTAGTCTGCTCAGGGCTTCGAAGTGCCTTGAAGCAGTATGCACACGCCGGGCAGCCCCACTTAGGTCGACGGTGAGCCTACGTGCCGACCTCTGTGGTCGTCGGGCATCTCGGAGCAGGCACTCGCACCATGATACGGATTCGGAGAAGAGGAGCTACCATAGGCTCGCCGCGGCAATCATGCGATGCTCGCGGGAAGAGGGGTTTGATTGTAGGAGCTTGCCGGCAGGAGAGGCTTTCGGCAATCCTTCCTCTCAACACCGAGAAGTTTCAAGAGCTAACAGCACTGGTGGTAAGCGCACTTTTTTCGGCGTAAAATCAGCCGAAAATTGATTCAACAAGGCCCCAACTTTCTCCGGTTTTCACCTGAAAAAAACTGAAGGCAAAACTCAGTTTTCCGCCAGTTTTACTGTGTTTCAGACCTGTTTGGCTGGTTTTGCACCAGTTTCTCCTCAGTTTGCATCGGCGTGAAATCGAGGAATAACTGGGCCTTGTTTAGCCACCTTTGCCTAAGTTTTCTCGAGAAAAAAACTGCGCTTACCACCCTGTGCAGTCCTCATACATAGGTGTCGGAGCTCGGCTTAGGTTTATCAGCGGGCTACGTATACGTACACAGACGGCCCTCCCTGCCGCGATCGCGAGTTAGCATCCGAGTCTGAGCTGTAGCGCAAATTCAGCAACCGAAGCAGAGCTACCCAACTCCCACACACAGGGGCTTGGGCGCGTGGCGCTTGCTTGCCCGACGGGTGAAGTGCTCCCCTGCTGTCCTTAAGCTCACTCCCGGCTCTACATATCACAGGACAAACATGGGGCCTAGGAGTCGTACGATCGCAGGACAAACGTCAGCCTCCAGCGTATAATGCTGAGAACCTAGTCGTCTGCAGAACAGCATGTCCGCGCCGCTCCAGAGCTTAGCTGATAATTTTCGGGGTACATCCATTCCAGCCCATATTTTTGCGTTCACTAAGCGTCATCATTAGTCAGCATGTACAGCAACTGCAGTCGTTACGCATTTGCCCGGGTATCTTACTCCTTGAGACACGCATATACGTCTATGACGGCAATGAGCCGTAGACACCGACGAGCTCCCAGCTGACTGGCAATGAGCATGACTTTCTGTATTAACACAACTTGGCATCTGGCCCTACGCTCGCTCGAGTGACTGCTTTCATAACCTGATACAACGTCAAGGCGGCATTGTACAGTTTCTCGTCTCAACAGCCTACATGTAGTATTTGATCAAGCATACATCGATTCTTCTGCCCAGGCTCCCGACGGTGGGGTGCTGTACATATCCTCGTCCATGCCCCATGCATCGTCCTTGTGCTTAAGAGCCTACATCGAAACAAGTCAGAAATTGATATCAAGGCATCTGAAGGCAATATAATCACCTTCTGCAGGTAATCTTTGCTCGAATTGAGCGCCCTCTCCACATCGCGCAGGAGCTTGCTCTGCTCCTGGGCCCGGGCCAGCGCAGCGTCGACATCCGCCTTTGTGAATTGTGGCGTCGAGTCCGCGAAGGTAACGTTCCCGTCAATCGATATGCTCGCATTGATATCGCCAATCTCAATCTACTCACGTCATCAGCCCATCGTCAAAATGCAGCGACTCAGGGCAACACTCACCATGTTCAGCACAATAACGCGCACTTCCTCTGCCTCAACCCCAACTTCCTTGCCGATGTCAGTGAGACCAAGTGTAATGTATGTCAGCGTGAGCTTCTTGATCAGCCACCGCGATGCACGGTCGATGACCTGCTGCACAAGACCTAAGTTCTGGTCCGATCGGAACGCCTCTACGTCCTTCTGCACGATCGCCGTTAGTGAGGCGGCAGTCTGAGGGTACGCTTTTCCGAGCGTGTTGTAAGGCGAATTCTTGATCATCCGGATGAGCTGATTGTTGGTGTATTTTGGTGGTTGGATGGCCTACATGAGCTGTGAGCTCACAGAAGTATGCTCTCACCCCCCTGAAGACGTACCTTGCCGTACAAGATCAATTGGACCAGTGTTAGCTTCTTCAGAGCCTCGAACTGGATCGCCGCAGGTGTCTGTGCAGGAGACGTCACGACAATTTCGAAAAACTCCTCCGCTTCGCGCCAGCGTTTAAGAACAGCGAAAACAACACCGCCAGCATAGTGGTACAGAAGGTTGTCGTTATAGTGCAAATCTGATATTGTAGTGTCGATGTCGACAATAGGCGTGGAGAGAACAGGGAGAGCTGCTGCGAAGTGCCGTGCAGTAACACAGGCCTGAAGCGAGTTGGACTTGAGTGTTGCACTCTGTTGCATGATTAGCGACTCACATGCAAGAAGATCGGATGGACGCTCGTCAGGTATGTCGGCTTTGGTGGGTATCTAAGTACGATACTGCAGAGGGGATCGAGCGCGTGCTTTATCTACAGATTATGCAGAAGGATAGCATCAGTACGTCTTGCTGCAAAGAATATGTACGTACGTTCTCTCCTGATGCTTTCACGATACCTTTTGCCAGTGCACTGACTTCAAGATACGCCGTCAGCGCCAAATTACCCAACGGTTACGACCGTGAATGCACGTACTGCGATCTGGAGCTAGGCGGGCATGTTCAGGAGTAAATCGCTTGCAGAAGGATTCGACATGTTGGATCTGTGGTGGCAGGGCTCCGCTAACATCTAGCCTTGCTGCTCTGCCCAGATGCCACGCATTCAGCATCACGGGCCAAACGAAAGTCCAGTGTCACTCACAGGATATATAGATACCCCAGCGTATTCGTCTCTGGACTCAAGACTTCCAACGGGTCCTGCCCACTCCCAAGCGTACTCGCGAGCAGTGTGTCCCGCGTCTCTTTCGTGCCAAAAGTTTTCAGCGTGCCATTCACTGTGGCAGCAGAGCCCGTCGTTGTCGTCAGGTACTGCACGAGCTCATCGAGGGTCTTGGGCTGCTCCTGGGCCGGCGCGAGAGCAGCTGATGGTCCCGGCTGCGCGGCAGTCGATGTTGAGGGTGCCATGGCTGATCGAGGGCATCGTCAGCAACTCTGCAGCTGTCAGGGCACGGCAGCACTATGTTTACATGCATCGTAGGCAATCTCGATGCTGCAAGGACGGATGTATTGCGCGATTGCCACTCACGTTGAAGAGACTCGTATGCACTGGCTTGTGATAGTTCTGACAAAGTGGCGGTAGACTTCTGTTTAGCCTGTGTTCTCGGACGAATATTTTACACTCGCGCAGCTATCGAACAGGACTCTTGGGCCGCAAGTGTATACCGAGAGACACGCGTAGGCGGTGCAGATGCAGGTGAGAGTGTAAGTGCTTTAGGCGCACATTTATGCGGCACGCGCCCTAGAACCGCGCCCGCGTCATCCGCGGTGGCGGAGACTAGGTGGTATTACGCTAGCTACGAGCTGCTCACATGAGCTAGTGTAGTTCTAATTTGTACGAAAATGTGAGAGCTAGGCCGTTCTATAGATCTAAGACCGCATGTTTGCTGGTGAAGAGTTCGTGGGCCGAAGCGTCATGGTATGTCTGCATACCTTGATAATTCCAATCACAGAATTATTTGGCAACATTTGCGATAGTTTTATGGAACATACTGCCCTGGATTCCCGCGATCTCTAGCTCAAGTTCACTTGGGTCGCGACTACCGTCCGAGCCGGCAAAAGTGCCGGCGCCCCATGCGGAACTACCATGGACCTCGGTCATGTTCGTTTGCTGAGGGAAAGTGTGGCTATAGCCGAGGGGCACAAAAATAATGCCATGGTGCGTGAAGTTCGACAGCATATTCATCGCGGTGGACTCTGTAGGGAACCGTCAACGACCCACACACTACGCGCAGTTTCCAATCTGGAAAATTGTAAAAAGCTCACTCTGACCACCGCCGGGCGTCGCAGTCGAGACAAAGACGGCGACATATTTACCGGAAAGCGCACCCTTAGACCAGAGTCGGTCAGTCGTGTCCCAGAATGCCTGCCAAAGCGTGAGCGTGACTGCGCGCTTTGCACACAAGACAAACGCGCCTTCTATTGAGCAGGGAAATTACCGAAGCGTGCTGGGATGCCAAAAATGAAACCGTCGAACTGAATGAGCTCGTCGGGAGCGATGACAGGGTAGGCGGGCTTAGCGGGAGCGCACATCTTCTCGAGAATTTCCTGGGGAAGGGTCTCGGGAGCCCTGGCAGACTGATAAATACGGCAGGCTTGTGAGGAAGGGGCGGATATAACTTACCGATAGATGGTCGCGGCGCCACCAGCACCTTCAACACCAGCCCTGACGGACTCGGCCACTGGAGGGACGTCATCAGCCGTCATACAATATGTCCGAGGTCTGTGTACTTGCTCTTAGCTATATGGCCGTGCATAGAGTAGATAACAATAGCGATCTTAGCAGGCATTAGGGATGTAACTCGATAGAGAGTGTGTATAAAAGTTGAGGCGAAGGAGGAAAAAAGTCGAGGAAACAGACTGCATGTGTACGCTGGCCTTTGAAGGTTTGTGGGCGACATATTTGCCAAAGTGACCATGCGTCCTTCGGTGCAATCGAGGGAGAGTTGTGCCTATTCGAGAAGGGTTGAGAAGGATGGTCGAACTGAAAAACGTCTATTCCGTTGCTCGGAGTAAGCTGTGGCCCGGATAAACAGTTTATGAGCGGAAAGAAAGCCGATGTGTACCCTTTGACAATGTTCAGAGGGTGCAGAGAGAGCGGACATTGCGAGAGCGCATGTATATACCGTGGCGAGGGTAGACGGCGAATACTACGACTTCCCGTTCCAGGTGGTGGCTGTATGCTGATGGGCAATAGATCGCTGTTATGGCATCTGAAGCGCCTTCCTTCACATCGTGAACAGCAACGGCGAGGACGAAGGCAACCCTTCCAGATGCTCCACGACGCCGCGCCTCGGCAGATGTCTGTGTAAACTTGGGGGAAACATGCGTCGAAATGACCAGTGGTCGCCTATGGACGCGCACTCACGATTGCCTCGTCCAGCTCGAGCTCAAGACCTGAAGGCCTGAAGCTGCCTGAATATTGAACATTAATACCAGCTTACCTGCGCAGTGGCGCAGGTGCTGGGCTGGGCGGAGGCCAAATCCTCCTATCATAGCGACTTCGCTGTCATACCTCTGTCGCTTCGATCTCCGCCTTCAACACACCGAGCGTCTCAAATGTCTTTGGCGGCGGACGTACATCCCAACCTTTCTCAACTCCTGCACTGGTTCGGATTGGAACGCGCTTGCATCAGGGATGTCCAAGAGCAAGAGCAACGGGTACACATCCGACAGTACGTCGGAGCATACAAGCGGAGGAATACATACTGACAAGAAGAAACAGCAAACACCGATATCGTTGTAAACCTCGACACGGTATCCGTCACGCGGCAGCGCGCGCCCTGGACTAGCTGGAACAAGGTCAAGCAGTCCGGCGTCCCGCGCGCGAATCTCGCAGTTACTGAGGTCTCGCCCGATGGCGCCATAGAGCCGCAGGGCTACACGAAAGAACACATCCAGAAGACCGTATGCCCTTTTAGTCTCTCTTGTATTCCACAATGTTAACCTGGCACTGAGGATGCAGGTCCTTCAGCAACACGTTGACTTTTTTGACCTGAACCGTGATGGCGTCATCACCCCGCTCGAGACCTACATCAGCCTTCGGCTCCTCCAGTGGGGCATCCTACTCTCACTTATCGCAACAGTCGTCATTCACGGTGGTCTCTCTTGGTTCTCGCTTCCTCCGGAGCACTGGCTCCCCGACCCACTTTTCCGCGTGTATGTCAGGGGTATCAACGGCGCCAAGCATGGCAGTGACACTGGCACATACGACCACGAAGGCCGATTCCGTCCTCAGCAGTTCGGGGACTTCTTCGCAAAGTATGGGATGAACATGGGCGATGGCAGTTGGGGGATCACTTATGTCCAGACGCTCAAGGGCGTGCATGGGCAGAGGTGTGTCATGGATCTGTTTGGATGGTTTGCGGAGCTCTTTGAGTGTAGGTGTGCCTTCATCGCGCATGGCGTGCATCCGTCGCTGACTATAGTCATGCATAGGGACCGCGACGTACCTGACCATTTGGCCCGCCGACGGCATCATGCGTATGGAAGACGTCCGCGGCGTGTACGATGGCAGCTATTTCTTCAAGGTGGCCGGCGATCGTAGACAAAAGTACCTCGCTGGGCAGCTTTCGATTGTTCTCTGAACGCAGGTCTAACTTTCTTGTTTGCCAACCAAGCATGAGTATGCCTAGAAGCCCTCAGTGCATTCCTTGGATTGCATCGAATGTTTGCACGCGTCACTCCGAATATGTTTAGAACCGTCTCTGTTTTTATATCTACTATCGGGTGGTCACCCAATGTAATTCGAAGTTCGGTGGAAGTAATATATGCATTTTTCCTCCGTATGCTAACCCAGCAGGAGCCCGCCGTCCACGACAGAGACTATCACCATCAGATCGACGTCGATGTGTGGCTCATTGCAAACAGGGGAACAGTACTTACGAGTCCCAGTTGTATACTTCGCCCGAGCATGATAGAGGTACGCCTCAGCGATGTCCTCAGTCGTCCCGATGAAACCTGTCAACAGTTTGTCTGCGCGTTGCTTCAGAGCAGCCTCGCGTTCTGGGGTCAAGGTTTCATGCGTTGACGTGACGAATCCTATCAGGGCACGAATCTCTGAACGAGGATCTTCAAACAGACGGGAAATCACTGGCCTGGGACGACTGCGTTCACTCGCACGCGCTTTGGGGCGAGATCGATTGCCAGACCTTTAGTGAGAGCATTCACCGCAGCATTGAGTGCACTGCCAACCTATGACGAGCTGGTGAGCACATAGCGGGATGTAGTAGAAACACTTGGAACCTCACGGCAGTCGCTGGCTCTGGCCTGAGACTAAGCGTCCCGGAGCTGACGGTGTACGAACCTCCCGGCTTGATGATGTCGTTGTTGGCGATCACTTTCGCCACGATGACCTGTCCCCAGAACTTGACCCCGACGAGTTCCCTCGCATTCGCAATATCGAGTGCGCTGATTGGGCCGCGGATCCTTGCGTCGACCGCTGTATACACGATGTGGTCGATGGGCGCAAGCTGACGTAGCGCCTCCGTGATTGCTGCCTCGTCGCGGGCGTCCGAGGTCGAGCCCGAGATAGACAAAGACGGGTCAGGATACTCTTCTTTGAGAAGTGACACAGCCTTGTCGACGTTCGCCGCAGTGTAGCCGATGACGTGAACGTGTGCGCCAGACGAGAGGAAGGCTTCTGCTACGCCTAAGCCGATTCTAAACATAAAGTACGTGTTATCTTGTTATGCGTAGTGCTCGAGACGAGAGCGATAGACACACCCCCTGCTGCCACCAATGATGACTACCTTGTGGCCGAGTAGTTTGTCCTTGAAGTTTGGTCCTGGAGCCATGGCTGCGAGGGGTCAAGCAAGTCAAGTCTCAAGTTCTTATATGTATCCTCCCGCGTGCGACGCATGTTACGACTGACACACGGTCCATGGCGTGTGAGAACGTTGTCGATTGACCAAGCCTGGAGGCGCAATCAGCGGATGCAGTACGACGCAGTCAAACGCATTTGTGTGTCGGCTTGCGGCCCGTGCGTGCCAATGAGCTGGTAGCTTTGACACGGGCCGACATATCAGGCTTAAGACCATAAGATCTTGAGAGTCGAGGTCTTCTGGAATATTGGGTCCGTAGTGCCGGAGACTCGAGTGTAGAAAGGTAGAGAGCGGGAAACGCCGCGCTCTTGAGACAGCTCGAGGAACTGACCAAACCGAGATGAGGCGTCGAGCAAGTGCACGCAAGAAAATTGAGTAACAGGATATTTTACATGCTCAAAACAGCTGAGGACAGTATGTAATACCTCTGGTAAGGAACACGACACCATGTCGACCGACTTCCAGCTAGTGGATGGCACGTGCTCCAGCTGAGGCATCCAAGATTACTCTTGGACTTGCGGTAGGCTCCTGCGAGAAGAGAAGAAAATCAGCAGGGGGACAATAGTGCGAGTCCGTGAAATGAGTGGGGAACGAAAACGCCCACTGCGAGGATTTAAAGGACTTTGGATTCGTCACGTGACTGTCTCTCATAAGCGAGCCAATGGTAAGACTTAAAATTTTGAGAACTTGGAAGCCGGATAATTGCCGGTCATGGCTGAAGCATCACGATTCACAACTATTATAGCGTACTATGCAGCCCAAGACAACTTGTTACAGAAATTCGAAAAGTAAAGAACGTGCGATGTCTTGTGTCTAGTGGCTAGCTTCTGAGTTTCGCCTGGTATCATCTTGCACATGGGGTTGGCACCCCAGCTATAGTAGAGGTGCGGCACTCTACTTATTCTGAGTCTGCTTGCCGGGCACGAAGAACCACCAAACAGAGATTAGGAAGCGGATACCAGTACCAACACCAAGGGCACCAGCAGAGCCGATTGAGTCGAGTATGGCACGGCCGGCGAAGCCGCCGACAAAGAGCGCAACGATACCTATGACTTTGTGGTCGCGAGAGGCAGCACGACGAAGTTGGAAGAGCTTCGGGTCCGCCATAAGCTCGCACCAGACGGTGGTGAGTACAACTACAAGCATAGTCAGCCACGCAAGTAAATCACGGAGCCTTGCACACGCACTAGTGGTTGCGAACTGTGTATTCACACGCTTGCCCATTATGCCCTGGAGACCCATGCTCGCGCTCATGAAGCCGATGGTAGCAAACGAGAGAGCGTTACTCCATGCCGGATCTGAACGAGCGTCCGCAGTGCTCGGCTGGCCGCTCTTCCAGATGCAAATCGCGGCGGACATTGTGAACAAAGTCTGGATGAAGGTGCCGAGGAAGAGCCATGCGCGGGTCTTCGAGCCCATACGGTCGCCGATGCGCCCAATGAAGGCACCGAAGATGAAGGTGAGAACCGACGTAAGGGCTTGCTTGTCTGCAAGGTGAAATGAGGTATCACGCTCTCCCGGCGGTCCTTGGAACAGGCGGGCGAGCGCGAGTGCGAGCTGCGGCTGGCGTCAGGACGAGCCGCAGGTAGCTAGCTGTCAGCACATACCTGGACGGTGTTGCCCGTCTGGAATGCACACCATACAAATATCGCTGAGAAACAGACAGAATCGCTGTAGAACGACCAGGTTAACGGAGACGGAAAGGGGCTGGAATTGAGTACGCACACGAAGCCGGTCATGAAACAGTAAGCTGCAAGCGGAAATGTCGCCCTCTCGCCCTCGACATCCTCCATAAGGTGCTGCTTGCTGAAGATGCTGGTTGGCGACATCCAAAGTGCAGAGTCCTTGTCAGTGGATGAAGGCGATGACCCGGGGCGTGGTAGCGAGCCCTTCTCTCCGGTAGCCATTTTGACGTGATTGTGAAACGCAGTGAGAGCCTATGAGGGCGCGATTGACGAGTTATATATGTCTCAGGTTTGTGCAGGCTGCGAATAATGTACACCGCTTGGGCAGGGCAGGACGGGGACGGTCGGGCAGTCAGGAGTGGGGCAATCATGCTCGTGCTAGGAGATATACACCGCGGAGAGGCGCGCGGGACCTGTCCTTTCCACCCCGAGACGAGCCAATCCCAGTCCGCCGCTCAGAAAACGCCACTCTATCGCCACCACAACATTCCATCCGATCTCTTACCCGTCTTCACGAACGCGCCATCCAAGTAGTCTGGGCATGTTGGAAGTTTGTCAACTGCCCTTCGATCTCGCGAAGAGGCTTGGCTGTCCAATACCCTGCATCCCTTGGCACGTTTGTAATTTGGCAAATTTTCAATGTCTGGGACATTGTTATTGACCTCTTTATCTCCTACGAATGCAGCGAAATGGGCGCAATCGACAATCATCTTTGCTTGAAGTCCTTGTGACAAATCTGCACACGTTCACAGTACACTGAAGCGAACTCGAATTCTATCTAGTTGCATTACACTTGTGATTTTACACCAGCTACGACAGCAATCGATATCGCACTACACCATGTTCAGCGGCGAGGGTAGCGTCGGACCCAAGCACTGTCCCGTTTGATTTCATATTCACGTCTTTCACGCCATTTTCCCGAGCACGCGCGGCTGCTGGAGGTCCGCCATGTTGATGAAGATGTCATCTGCAGGATGACGATACAGCGGCGCACGCAGACGCTTCTGGTCAAGGTGGTGACCGATGAAACCAATCGAGCGGCCGAGGACGAACAGGCCATTGAGCGTACCAATCTATTTTCACACCACAAGGATCAGCAAGACCGCAAACGCTGCGGAGCACACGTACCTTGATGTACTCGTCGGCCTCTTCGGGTGTGAACGCGCCAGAGTCGCGCAGCAGGTCCACGAAGCAGACGGCGATACATCCATCGACGTTAAGAATGAGCTAACACGGATTCACAAGTCAATCGTCATCTTCGTTCGGTACGGATCACAAATTCTCACCGTATCCTTCTTCGAGGTAGTGACTTTCTCGACGGCGAGCGCATAGTCGAGCAGGCTATGGCTCGGGAAATGCTTTTGGACATACTCCTTGACAAGTTCGACACGAAGATCGGGGTTGTTGACACTCTTAATCTTGTGACCGATACCCGAGATAAGCTTATTCTGTTTGCGGCACTGGTCGACGAACTCGCGCGGCGTTAGGCCGGTGTCGCGGGCGTTTGAGAACATGGCGGCAGCCTCATCGAGTGCGCCACCGAAGCGGCTACCGATGGTGAGGAGACCAGACGCGAGCGAGGAAATGAGGTCTTTGCCCGCACGTGTCGCAACAATGGTGTTCATCGCGCCAGATACGGCAGGGCCGTGATCAGCAGTGAGCATAAGTACCATCTCGACAAACTTGGTAGCCCAGGGCGGGAGACGACGCCTAAACCACAGGAGCGAAACGACACCGCCAATGCCAATGTCGTCCTTGAAAACGTCAGAGATGCGCATGCCAGCGTAAAGCAATTCTTGGCCACGCTCGTCAGAGATGGTAGAGATGAAAGCAGCAGGTTTGCGGATAAGACCAAGTTCCTGGGCCCACTTGTAGTCCATGGGGATGACAGGAGGCTCGCGTTCAGACTTGGGGGCGATGGCGCCGCTGACAACAAGGCGCTCGTAGGTTTCGCGGAGTACCTGAGGGAGGTCTTCGAAGGTGTCAGGGACGATGAAGCCAGCTTTACGCATAGCAGCATTCTTTGCATCGGCGGTCTCCATGTCCGAGTTCGCCATCGAGCCAGCGTGGCCGAATTGCACCTCGGTGGTAAACATCTTCGCGCAGGTACCGATGGACCAAGCAACGATAGGCTTCTTGATGATACCCTTCTTGACGGCGTCGATGACACGATACTCCTCAATACCACCAACCTCACCAAGAAGGACGAGCATCTTGCATTCGGAGTCGTTCTCGTAGCGGGAAAGGTGGTCGATAAATGTTGAGCCAGGGTAACGATCACCACCAATAGCAATACCCTCATAGGTACCGTTGGTGACGAGTGAAAGGATGTTGTTCAACTCGTTCGACATGCCTCCAGACTTCGAGACATAACCGACGGAGCCAGGACGGTACAACTTGGACGCGATGATGTTGTCCATCATACTTCAGACCATGTCAGTGTAAATAATAGCAATACGACGCAGGAACATACCCTCCGGAGTTGCCAATACGGAAGCATCCAGGCTTGATGCCACCAACAGTGGCAGGACCGATGATGAGGACATCCTTGGCCTTGGCGAGGTGAAGGATCTCACGAGCATGGCGTTCGGGAACACCCTCAGCTATAATAGCGATACTCTTGATCTGAGGGAACTTGAGGATCTCGAGGGTACTGGAGTAGACGGAACGCGACGAAGCGAAGTTGACCACGACATCGGCATCAGGGTGTTTCTTCGCGGCCTCCTCAACACTAGTGTACACAGGGAGGAGCGTCTCCTTAGTGCCCCAGTAGAACTTCTGAATATGGTGACCGCCGAAAGGGTAGATCATGGCAGCAACAGAGGGTGTCTCACGGCCACATGAGTAGTCGAAGTCCAGCATGCCTTGGATAGCACGGGGCTGGAGACCATATACAAACGAGCGAGTAGAGGCGTCAAAAGGTCGGTACCAGGGGCGCGCAGAGTGGGCCTGCTCGGTGGTATCGAAGCGCACGATCTGGTCGTTGGGCTGAGTACGCTCGCCGTCGGGGTGAATCGCGCCGACGCCAAGGTCAGTGTATCCCGGGCCATCGATGGCAGGTGCCTTGGGTGAGGCAGGAGCAGTGGGCGGAATGGACTGAATAGGGTTCTTAGGCTCCGTCTTAATGCCGAGGGCAAGCGGGACGATAGCGGTAATGTGGGTGTCGGGGCCGTAGACTTTGATTTCGACGCCAAGCGACTCGCCGAGTAGACGCATGGCTTTGAGACCTTCCTGGTAGTTAGGACCACCACGGCGGACAAAAATGCGAACCCTATGGTTGCTAAGCGGACCCTTGAACTCCTTGAGGGCGCGAATAATACCCTTAAAGGTAGCCGCCACGTTGGTGAAGTTCGCGATACCACCACCAATAATGAGAATCTTGCCGTCAGGGCGAGGAGTGCCACGAGTCATCAAGTCAACTAAAGAGGGGATGAGGGACGTATCTGACAACTTCTTTGAGCTACTCACGGATAGTCTTCGCATATTCATAGGTCTGGCCTTCCGTAGGCGCACCGGAGTACTCGCCGTAGTTGGCAAGCTCATGAGCGAAGCCATGAGCGGCTATGGCATCTGAATAGACGACAGAAGCGCCACCACCAGCAACCATGGTCCAAATCCGACCCTCGGGATTGAGCACGGTGAGCTTCAGAGAGGCACCGGTTGAGCCATCGAGCTTTTGGATATACGCCTCCTCCCTTGTCAAGTCGCGACCGAAGGGAGCAGGCCAGACCTATATTCATTGCGTTAGCACCCAGTCTAATTCACCACATCGCATTCACATACCATTGGAGGACCGCGGTCGGCAGACACAGTTTTGCCCTTGCTGGTGGTGACCTGAGAACCAGGTTCGTAGACGGTCAGATCACGAGCAATCGCCCACTTGGGACCACAGATAGACTCAGCGGTCTGGTCTAATTTGGCAGCCATGTCGAGGTAGTGAATAGCGGGCTCGCCGCCGTTCTCGCCATCGAGACAAACCAGGGGGTTGATCTCGAGGTAAGCAAAGTGGAGATCAACGTAGACAGAGTAGAGCCGTGTGAGGAAGTCGACCAGAGTCTCCTTCTTGCTCTCAGGCACATGTACAAGTAGAGTCTTCTTGATAGTTTCTCGCGAGGGGAAAGGTGCTCCGACCGGGAGGTCGAGAACAAGGGCTTTCGCATTGACGTCGCCGACATCGACACCGCCTTCGTGGGTAAAGAGGATGGCATCACCCTCGCGTTGCGAGTTGATACAGACGTAGAACTCGGTGTTAGATGGATGCGGGAGGAAGGGCTCGAGAATGAAGTTGTTCAAAGTGCCGGTGACAGACTCGACCTATTTGACAGGTAATTAGTTAGACGCCTTAAGCCAGACGCGTCTTCGATCGCTGGACGCGGGTACATCGGATCGAAGGACGCATATCATTGGAAAACTGTTCTGTGTGGTGACAGAGCTGTGCGCACTATGTAGCACAGTATGACACGGCACTTATGATGGGTGCCGAGCAGTGTCGGAAGAGCGATGATGATTTGAAGCGGCTCGTATGATGGTAAGGGCGAAAGGACATGAACAAGGAAGAGCGGGAAGAGCAAGACGGAGATGAAGAGTCCAAAGGAGATCTGAAAAAGGGAGAGAACACAGACCTTCTGGGGCTTACCAGCGCGCTGCTGGATCCAATCCTTTGCCTCGTCCCAAGTCTTGTTGAGAGCAAGGAGGCCGGCCTTGCCACGACGCTTGATGAGTTGATCAGGCTTGGCGACGAGTTTTGTGTTGAAGACCCAGCCAGGGAGCTGAGTGTCAGGAGTGATAGCATCGGTTTCGGCATCCCATGAAACCTGAGCAACTTTCGAAGACGGGTAGACAAAGTTGGTCTTGACGGTGGCATTCGCGTCGACGGCGGGGGCGCGCTCGAGCCAATATGCAAGCAGAAGCTTGGCGTCATACTCGCGGACGGCTAGCCGGAACAAAAGGAACGGAATGTAAGTTGGGGACGGAAGCGGGAGTGAGGCGTTGCGGATGCCCGATGAAGGATCCTGTACTCACGTTTGGCTGACATTTTTAGCCTGTAACAACTAGTCTATGAGAGTCAAGAATGGGGAGGTGGAGGAAGGAGGAAGGGGGACACAATTCGACGCGTTACGTCCGTTGGGGTATTTATCCTCTGCCGGCGGCAGTCGAAGGATGGGCTCATCCGCAGGAAATCATGAATGGGCAGACAGCAAGACTGATTTTCAGCCCCGACCATCCCCTGGCGCAAGCTGCATCCTCGTTTCTGCCTTCTTAAGCCTCTCCATCGCACCCCTGCAGCCTCCCCAATCTTCTCACGCCGGCATCTGCCAGCTCGTGCGATAGTAAGCTCAAGGCACGCCTCCTCCACACCTTGTACTACCTCAGGCATACACGATCTAACGTAATGGGTCACCCCCAAACGAGTGCATCAAGCGTAAAACAGCGAGCACTTCCAAAGCGAAACCAACTAGATGACAGCAGTAATGTACCAATAACGCATAGCGAGTGCGCTGCGAGCATCGAAGTCTATCGTCTTGTTTAACCACCGAATGCCAACAAACGATCAATATAATAACACACCTCGCAATCGCATGGGTATCCCCTGAACGTCCTATCCTTTAACACGAGCACATCAACATAATGTACAAACATCAAACATGTCCGTCCGTCCGGCGTAAATCCACAATCTAGCAGATGACACAGCCCGAGCAGCATCCTTGGCTGCCCACTTCCGCACTCTCTTCCGCCATGCTCCCACTGCGGCGTATGCTCTTCTTCTTCGGCGTATCCTTCGCCCCAGGCGGTGGGCAGGGGCGAATAGAGAGGTGCACCACCGTTGGCACAGGTGGTGCTACCTCGTTCGTCTGCGTGGGTGCAGTGCCATGTATATGCGTCGGGAACCCGACCTCTACCGTGCAGCCAAATCATTAGCTTAAGCTAGACGACTTCTCCGCGGACGACCGCGTACTGGTTAGGGTATCGTCATCCTGGAGTATCTTGCCTAGATACAGTATCCGCAAATACGATGGCGCCGGAGGTCGTTCGTCCTGCCATTCTGCGCGCCATGCGGCATTTAAGGGCGGTTTTTGCGTAGTACGGGGGGCCAGATGGTGGTTAAGAAGGACAGCTGAGAATAGCTCGAGACTGTGGAAATAACGGGGCGCACCGTTAGGCCATGCATTCCAAACCAACTCCTTCGCCCGTCCGACAGTAATGTCGGGATCAAAAGACATCGTCCGCCGCTTGCCCGAGACAAGAAGAAAGGCCAACGAGACCTGCGGGGTTTGAGGCACTTCAGGATCCAGGAGGACACGTTCCTCCGCAGACTGCTCGACGCGCAACTCGTCCCGTTCACCAGAACCATCTTCATCATCGTCCGCAGTGGTATCAACTCGCGTGAAGGATGTCCGGGCAGATGGCGAGAGAAAAGAAACATCCGTGCGTTGTGGGGTGAGGGCATCGGCACCAGAAGATGAGGGAGGCCTAGTCCGCGGTGCATATGAGCCCTGTTGCGTGGTCGGTAGATCCGTCGACATGCTCGCTGTGGTGGTCTGCCGGGAAGTGGCCCTGTGGCCCATACGTAGCAAGTAGAAGTACAGGAAGCTCCCTGCGATATACTACCAGTATTAGGCGCTCGGAGACTACCGCAGATCCCAGGCATCACGTGTTTGGTGATGGTGAGCTCAGCGCTCGTTGCCATACGTCCACAGAACTCCCTTTGGCCTCGTCCTTGCGACCTTCGACAATTTATAATGGTGAGACGCCCTCCCTATGCATGTCTGGCTGCAATTTTTGTAGTCTGGGGGGCTGGATGGCGGAACTAGAGGCTGGATGGGGCTGCTGCTTGCCGGATGAGGATCCTCGAAACGATTGGTGCGCTTTGCGATGAACGGATATGCTGACGACCTGTTGCTTTACATCAGGCCAACGTAGAACTTGCTGCAACCTACGCCGCCCTCATCCTCGCCGACGATGGCGTCGAGATCACCGTGCGTGCCCGCTCGTATTGAATCCCATTTCCCGGTTTTTCTTGACTCTTAGTTAGTCGGACAAGATCACTGCGCTGATGAACGCCGCAAATGCTGAGGTCGAGGCTATCTGGGCAACTCTTCTCGCCAAGGCACTCGAGGGCAAGAACGTGAAGGAGCTCCTTTCCAACGTTGGTGCGGGCGGCGGTGCTCCCGCAGCCGGTGGTGCTTCTGCGACTGCTGGCGGTGCTGCTGCTGGCGGTGCTGAAGCACCCAAGGAGGAGGAGAAGAAGAAAGAGGAAGAGAAAGAGGAATCAGATGATGATATGGTGCGCCTTCTGTCTTCTGTGTTGGAGCTTTTTGTCTCTAAAACATGTACATGCAGGGCTTCGGTCTCTTCGATTAATCTCGTCGGATTTCCGTCGTTCTACCATGTTTCGCTTATATGTTCCTGCACACTACATGCTGCCGCTGGGCGCACGGAGGACCTGCTGCGCATCCTTCGCACACTGCCAGGACTGTGGTTGCTCTCCCCAGTGAATATCTGCGAACACTCAAGATTGGGGCTCTCGAAGCGCACATAATTCGGGCTCTCGGGGCGCTACTGCGGACATGCTACAGCGAATATAATACATGATTTTCAAAGTAATTATTGATCATTTCCGATTCTCCTGATGTCGTGATCTAGTGTGACGTTCGCGGCAGAGCATGGTATCTAAGTGTTGGCTACACACGACGCCGATTCCTCCTTGCCACACCTGACGACAGCGTCCTGTGGGCTGTTCCCGATGGCGGCAGCACATTCTATCTACTTGTAATAGCCCTGCTATGATAACGAATATCATTTGTTCACTGCTCTGAGTCTCTAACAATCCACAGAAGCAACTTATGGAGATAGGAAACTAACAAAAGGTGTCAGGAGTAGTATGTGTGCTGTGCTGAGACTGGCTTCATAATGTGTTGCCTGATTCTAGCTAAGTGAACTATATCCAAGAGGGATCAATGCCTTGCAAAATTCTGGAGCATTATTCAATACACGTCATATTGTGTGTATTTATAGCTTACTCTGAGCTTTTTTCTGAGAGTAAAAACAATGTGTGCAGACTCACTGGTGCTAGTGCTGACAATGACAGAAAAGTTCTGAGACCCAGTGAACATTCCATTTACCCAGGTTCACTCAGACCTACTCCGATCGACTCTGTCGACTTCGGTAGGTGATCGGGTCGCTGGGGCACCCAGATATACCCAATTTCTTTTTTCCATCATTTTATATATACCTGTATATACCGCCATCTAGTTTTACATGTACGCAGGTCACCTCTCGTTTACTCCCTGTGTAGATTCACACCACCTGCAATACATACCAATAAATACCCTCGTTCACGCGACGCCCAATGCTAGCCACTGGTACTTGCATGTGACACACTCCCAGTCTATGTCGTCCTATTGTCCATAAGTCAGCTTGATATCAGACGGAGGAGGTAGGTAGACACACTGTTCCTGTGTAGCGCGGCCGAGCTGTCACTTCTGTGATAATGTTAGTATTGTGCATCCGTCCAGATTAACATGTGCACTTACAGCTTTAAAGGCAAGATTGTTGAACTTCTGCAATGCACATGCTCCATATAAAATTTGAGAGAATCCCCACAAGTATAACCAGCACGCACCTTCTTGTCTGCCTGAGTAAGGCCCTTCCAGTAAATATCAAAGTCGGCCAAGCCCTGTTCAGGGTTATCGGCCATCCAAGCATCACGGCAGTAGGACCTACAAGTAGGATTCCAATGGAGTTAGTAATCTGAGTGTGCTACAGAGAGATCCACGTACTTCCTGGTGATCTTTGTGATTACAGTCTCCACCACCGTAACAGTTGCCGCCACTGTAACAGCTTCTGCCATCATAACAGTTGCCGCCGCTGTAATGGTTGCCTCCACTGTAACAGTTGCCACCGCTGTACCATTTCCTTTGGTGCCATTATCACCATTGGGTTGTTTATCGGCAGTGGTGATAGTGGGGCTGGTGGTGGTAACAGTGACAGGCAGAGCAATGTCACCTTCAGGAGTTGCAGCCACTCCAGCTTCTGCACTATTCTCTCCGGCCTCTGAAGCTGCTCGCATCTCGACCCAAGTCGGTTCTGTTGAAGTGTATGTAATAGTGCTTGCACCTTCCTTCAAACAGCTCGGATCAGCTGAATAGTCTACAGTGGTCTGTATTGCGGCAAGGCTGCAGTGACCACACTATTGTGTTCACCTCAGCCACATGTACAAGAAACAGAGACTCACATTGGGTTATGGATGACAACCGTCCCCAAAATCTTTGGCTTCTTCCATGTGCGGCAGTCATCAATACTCACAGACGCAGCTCACTTCTGCATGCTGCCAGGCAACAGAGGTGCAGGATCAGTATTCTCGTCGTGGCCTACATTGGGTTCACCTTTGTCGACCTCAATTTCTGGCATTGGATTGACTCTATCTTCCTCGGCCACAATGCTGACACTACGAGCTTCCTTCTTGATGCTACGGGCTGTTGGCATTTGGGCAGCCCACCTTTTGGGCCATGAGTGGTGCTGTCAATAGTGAGAATAAATCTCGATGGCAACTTGGTCTGCCTTCCAGTCGTCGGTGCAGTTGGCAATAACAGGATAGTTGTTGTAGAGTGCACTAAAGACTATTTCACGATGGTAATCAAGTGCAAGGCCCATCCATGTTGCTGGCGGTGCCATCACTTTGGAGTGATCAAGTTCACGGAAGGTGCACCTCGCAACATTAGCGACTGCAGCTCTCTCTCCTATCAAGAACACCTGACCTGACTCCCACTTGAAGAAGCCAAGGTTCTTATATTCAGCCTGGCTCTTTGACCAATTCTTCTTGTCTTCCTTGGAGTTGCTCTGGCTTGGTTGCACATCTTTTGACTCCTTCCATATAGACTTGTGCCAGAAGTGCATGCCTAGAAAGTTTTCACGATATAGAGGCTTGTGGCTTTTTAAAGCCCTGCTAGACTTCTTGGTGCCAATTGTGGCCTCGATTACAACATTCATTCGAGAGCTATATATAGTATGTTTATCATGTTCAGCTGCACACCCCATTAAAGCTACTTACGAGAGCGTGCCCACAACATCAAATAGCTTCTCCACACACTCTCTGCAAATTCCGAAGAGGGTCAGACTCTGTCTACTAGTACAAATTAGGATGTACATACCTGAAAGTCTCTATCTGCCCCCGAACAGACCAAACAACATCAAATAGCGATATCAGAGACAGATTGGAGACATCTGTTGCAGAAGCCATGCCTGCGTTTCTGTGTGCATTTTCAACAGGCACACCTTGGCTTGAACTGCCCAACATCTACACCTTTACATGAGCCATCATGTATTCAATCCAGCAAGGTACGTGTCATACTGGAACTTCAAACACCTCCCATTCAGTTGCATATCTGTCACCAGTTCCATTGATTGACATGTTTACCATAGACATATCTCCCAGGAGGCCGTAACCTATGTTCTCTCAATTCTCCCATTGATGGTTGCCATGAATTCGGAGCACATGCCTAATGCCATTCTTCCAGCAGCTTCGCCTCGAAGGCCAAACGTCTCAGAGTCATGTTGAAAGGTATAATCCATGGAGCGAGTGTTCTATAGCAAGGCAGAGCAGATGCACACTTGACTGGCACAGCAATGACACAGAGGATGGTGTGAAGCAACCAACAACAGCGTTGGATGGGCATAAAGCTTAAATACAGCCACTGTCTTAGATCGAGCGGAAGTAAATGAGTACACCACCATATACCAAGACCTACTGCTACCTACTAGAATTTCTCATATATATTGCTCTCTCACCTTGTACAGACGTAGGTTGCTTGTGTTTGCCATCATAAAGCCCGGCACACACACTGACATGCCCACACAAGAGCATCGACCTGTGCAGCTGGTCTGCCGATGCCGACACTTAAATGCACCTCATAAAGACATGCCGTTGCCATACTAGCTTCCATCCATGTACAACGAGACAATTCTTTGATGACACCTACAGCTTCTAGAGCAAGAGCATCAGAGGCTATGCAGTGAGGAGCGCATGGCTCAACAGCACACTCCAGTTCACTGATGCAGAGGTTCAAACGCTTCTCAAGAAGACATGTCGCTGCCATACCAATTTCTGCTCACGTATAATGAAACAATTCTTTAACTGCACCTACAGCTTTTGGAGCAAGAGTATCTGAGGATACACGATGAAGAGCACGTGGCTCAACAGCACTCTGCACCTAGTAGCATCCAGACTCAACAAACCAAATGCACACAGTAAGCATAAGTCATAATTGTGACCGTGCGTACATGTCTGCTGTTGCTAACATGAACTCACACAGTTGAAGAGAAAACAGCCACCACATAAATGATATCTGCTCAATGTAAAGCTGCAAGAGACATGCCGTCAGATTTATGTATGGGTTCTCTGCTAAAATGAGCTTCTACAGTTAGAGATGAAACGGTCTGCACAAAAGTGATACAAAGAGGGCAGTGGTCTATATGCGAATATATGAGCGAGAGAGATTACATGAGGAAGAAAATTCTGCATGTATATTATAAGACCTAGTGGATATAAAGTTCAATGTGACAATTAGCTTACGTGTGGGCCATACGATGCATATGAACATGCACAATGGTGCAGGCCATCCGGGTAACCTGTCCATCCATTGAAGAATCTGCTTCTTCTCACCAATGCCTATCCAGCTGTCCTCGCTGGTGATGGCAATACCATCCTTTCTCTGATTGCAGTGTGAGGGGACAGGCGTGCTCCAGATAAGCTCGATGGTGCCGTAGATGCCAACTGCAGTGTATGCAACATTTGGAAAAGCTCACAATGTTAATTACTACTAAATAGTACTAATCAACACTAATTAATATAGTAATATTAATTAACTGACCCCTCCTATTATGCTTACATTTCTAATAGTAAATTAACACTAATGTAGTAATTCATTCATGAACTGTTTATGAACTGTTCATTAGCTATTCATTTGATATTCATCAACTGTTATTTGGTGTTAATGAGCTGTCATCTCTTGTTAATAGACTGTTAATTTGCTGTTATTTCAGTATTCTTAGCTTCAAAATCAATGTACCAAACTCAAATTTAATTCTATACAGATTTCTTATACTATACAACATATTGATAGCTCTATACAAGCATAATATTCAGAAAAAAGAAAAAAAAATGGCCCCAATGAAAATTAAACCCCAGTCCCACTACTTTCAAGCTATCTGTTGAAACATGCACAGTTTAACCCACTGAACTGTAAGGCTCACATAAACTTTACACTTCAATGTTCCTATGTACACTCTGCTAACAACTTACAAATATTTCTAAGTGCAATCTAGAAGTCTAAC